CTATGTAGCCGTTGAAGGTATGGAAGATCTGATGACTTTTGTCTTTTAGCTTCAGAGATAGTACAGCTTCATTAAATGCTCTTTGGATAGCGTGTCCCATGAGTTGAGGTCCTTATTGTCCTAGGATGTTGTCAAATCAGACAGGTAGAACATTCTTCTTGTTGATGAGAAGAAGAATACTTGTTGAGATAGACTTGAAAAGAACTGTCTTTTTAATGACAACTCCTTCTTTCGTTGCTGTGGAGTCTTCTTTCGCTTTGATCAGCCTATCTTCTATTCATAACTCTTTTCGTGTGTTTGTTCTAGCTTAACACGAATTACATATGAGTTATGGCAACTTTCGTCTAGAACGAAAGTAGCGATACAAGAAAAACGTAAGAGTTAGGGGTCTATTTTCTACATTACATTGGTATCATCAAAATTCTAATACAAGGTTCCTAACAAAAAACTTCGGTTAAAACGGTTCGGTTAACCGATTGCACACCGCTAACAACAATACCACCACCACCAACAACTACCACCATCACCACATTATCATTATTATTACTAGTAAGTGTCCCGTGCGATGCATGAATTATTATTAATTTAACAAATGAACAAATTACACTTTTGGTCCTATGATTATAGGGGGTGTGTTAATTTTGCTCCATGACTTTTACAACTAACAATTTAGTCTTTTAACTATGTTTTTTTTAGTAGATTTGGTCCTTCCGGCCAAATCACCAGTGAAAATTGGCCGGAAAAACTTAAACCTTTTTAAATTTTTTATTCATGAGGGCAAAATAGTCTTTTTACGTAAGCTTCTTCTTCATCTTCGCGTTCATGAGCTACGGCTAACCGTTGCCTCTGCTTTCAAGAAAGAACAGCTCCAAGAATCGAAACCCTAGGTTTAGAAGCAAGGTATGATTTTTATCCTCAGCTTTTTCTTCATGTCTACTGCGCATTTCTTGATTCATCTTACCCAGATCGCACAATATAAAGCTCTATAAGAGATCTAAACTCCCAGAAATATTCTTCTCCCTATTCTAGCCACAACCATCCTCCCAATTCCAGCCACGACCAAAACATAATTGTAGTATTGGTTGTGGTCCTGTGGATGATGATTTATTTAATTTATAGTGTTGAAATAAGTGTAGATGTTCATGTAAATATTGATTCTGAATTTTAAATTTATCTCCAATCAATTAATATTAGAAACATAACATAATTATTGCAATGTTAATTCTCAATTATGGATCAACAATTATTACTCAAATTAATTTTGTGAATTACTCTCCTATCCACTAAAATCTTTTTGCTTATTATTCACTTTGATTTTCTTTTCATCTTTATTTAATTACTAGTAATTCACTCGCGCGATGCACGGGAAAAAATATGTTATTATTAATATAAGTAAAAAATAGAAAAACTAAAATATTTTAAATTATTTAATATAATAATATTTTTGAGCTTCCATTGGTCAAGTATTTATTATTTTTATAGAATACAAATTACAATTAAAATTTTGTATGGTTAATATAATCTCTAATTATGTGCATATTCAAATAAACTTATAGAGAGAATTTACATAATTACATTGATTTATTCTTAATTGTATTTCATCTATATTATAATTTTCACAATACGAATAATAACTAAGATAATTACATTTGGAAAGCAAATTTCAAATTTTGTATGTGTAAATTTAAACTCTAATTGAACACATTTTTTATATGATTATATAATATATAGCTATTTTATTTTTCAAAAATATATTTTTTATATGATTATATAATATATAATTATTTTATTTCTTAAATGTTGTGCTTTTTTTTTTTTTATATAATAAAAGATATTGTGGCATTAATTGTAGCATTAATTATTTCCCAAACCATATAGCTTTATTATATAAAGGATTTATGATGATTATGATTAGGGAAAATATTTCCATAATCATTTTGCTTTTTAATATATATAGAGAGATAGAGATAGAGATAGAGATAGAGATAGAGATAGAGAAGAGAAGAGATAGAGATATAATATATAATATATAATATATAATATATGCAATATTTTATATATTAATGATATAGACATGTTATGTTGACTAATTTAATAATTATGTTGATGTTGATTTGATTTGTAATTAAAATTACATGACTTTATAAATTAATGTAAATACAATAAACACTTTAATAATTATATTCCTTACAAGTTGTTCAGAGCCTCAAGTCTGAATGATGGATATATTATGATCGGAGCAAACTGACTCGAGAAAGCGAAGCAAGGAAGTATGGAATGGACTTGGGGCCCCAAGGTTGAGCCCCGTGCTCGGCCCAAGGCACCTCGCCCATGTTGAGCTCGACTCGCCTGACCCGCGGACCCGGTCTCAACCTGGACTCGGTCAACACTGGAGATGCAACCACCCTCCGACTTAGGTGGGGTAGTTGGGGGATTTATTCTATACAAATACCCCACATTTGTCCCTTTAAGACATGTTCAATCTATTCTAACTACTTTGTCCTAAAATTATACAACTAAATACTCCATTCTCATATACTCATGTCTTTCATAATTTGATAAAAACATTTTATAATTTAATACTAAGCCGTTTAGGCTTCAAACCCTCAAAAAAATAATCTCATTTATTCGAATGACACTTTAACATTTTTATTGAGGAACTTCAACCACCCTCACCGGCCAAACTTAGGGTCAACACGGTTTAAGCATTTTGAAATGTAAAATTTTATAATTTCATAGTTAGCCGTTTAGGCTTCAAAACCTCAACAAATAATCTCATTTATTCAAATCACATTTTAATATTCTTATTGAGGAATTTCAACCACCCTAACCAAACTTAGGGTCAACACGGTTTAAGCATTTTGAAATGTAAAATAATTGCTTATTAGCTACCTCAAACCGAGTGGACCCCGGCCGGCTAAGTAATACTGTGCATCTTGGCCATCATCAATAATCTCAATACGCAGATATAGAAAAAGAAAGAGTGAGAGACACTACTGGGAGAGCTGATCTTCAATTCATTCTTCAATTACTTTCCCTTCATCTCAATTCTCAATGGACACCAAAACAACTTCCACAAGTGCTTCTGCTGCAATGCCTCAACAAGTGTTCATGGTGGGTAACACCAATGCATTGGCAGAAATTAAGAACAAGCTCACCAACCTGTCAATTAAAGAAAGACAAGTCATCTCCATCACTGGAATGGGAGGTATCGGGAAGACAACTTTAGCAAAAAAATTATATGAAGATGAACGCATCAAGCGTCATTTTGACATTCGAGCATGGATTACTGTGTCTCAATCTTACTCCTTGGATGATTTGCTCCAAAAGCTCCTCCAATCAATTGAAGCTTCTTCTCCAACAGAAGGACAATCTGCAGGAACCTCCGATACACCCATGGAGAAAGTCCGTAAGTTGTTGTTGGGCAAGAGGTATCTAATTGCAATAGATGACATATGGAGTACACAAGTTTGGGATGATTTGCAGATATGCTTCCCAGAAAAGAGAAATGGGAGTCGAGTATTGTTAACAACTCGACTCACATATGTGGCTACTCATGTTAGTTCTGGTGGTCTCCCATTTAGCATGCCTACCCTATGCAAAGAAGAAAGTTGGGATCTTTTTTGCAAACAAGTATTTGCAAAACAAGAATCTTGTCCTCCTTCTAATGAATTTGAGAACATTGGGAGAGATATTGTGATGAAATGCAAAGGATTACCACTCTCAATTATGGTGATTGCTGGGATTCTATCCAAAGCTGAAATGAAGGTGGAAGATTGGGAAAATGTTGCCAGCTCTGAAGCATTATCATCAACTTTATATGAGGAGCAAAATTGTGAGGAAATACTTTTATTGAGTTACAACCACATGCCTGAAAATTTGAAGACTTGCTTCTTATATTTAGGAGTATTTCCAGAAGATTATGAGATTCAAGTTGAAAGATTAGTTGGACATTGGGTCGCTCTGGAATTTGTAGAAGACGAGGCTTTGGTGGCAAACAAGAAAGAAGAAGTGGCATGGCAAAAGTTGCAAAATCTTATTGATAGAAATTTAGTTTTGGTGGAAAAAAGAGGACGGAGTGGAAAAATAAAGACGTGTAAGATGCATGATCTTACGCGTGAGATGTGCTTGAGACTAGCTAAAGACAAAAATATATTGCATGTCATTGATGACAAGTTTCAAGTTGGACAGTCCTCCAAAGAAATAACTCAAGAAAATGGCAATTTGTGGGTAAGCCTACAATCAATTTCTATTATTAGTCGTTTCGGTTTGGAGCATATGACACTCCAGAATAGCCATTCCTTTCTTTCTATGCTTCCATATCAATATAAATTTAGATTCGAAAGAGATGGAGGAAATTGGATCCTTATCAAGTACTTGTTCACAGCAACATCAATTCAAGTACTTGACCTACGTGGACTTTGTGTTCCCGAATTCCCTTCATCTCTTTGGATAAATAACTTAAGTGAGTTGAGGTATCTAGCTTTGTACTATGGTGCATTTCCTGGTTCCTTCTCGGTTTTAAGCAGTTTGAAAAATCTACAAACGTTGATTCTGTATAGTGGAAGTGATTGTGTTGTATTAAGCACAACCCTTCCAAAGACACCACAATTAAGGCAGTTTCGCAGTTTGGGTATTTGTTTATTTCATTTTCAAAATAAAGAAGAGAATTTGATATTGGAGAATCTGACAACTCTGTTGTGGTTAAGTGACCTTTGTTGCAATAAAGCATTGATGGTGAGGATTCCGAATGTAAAGAAATTGGGGGTAAGTTATGAAGTTTTGGAATACAGAGACGACCATAAGCATCCCATTGACTTGCTCCATACTTTAAGCCATTTGGAACAACTCGAAAACATCAAGTTTTATGGAACATACAAAATTGTGCTAGTTTATATTCCAAAACCATATGATTTTCCACGGAAGCTCAAGAAGTTAGAATTTTATAAGACTTGGATGAAATTGGAGATGATGACCATCCTTGGAAGGCTACCTAACCTCCAAGTTCTCAAACTACTAGTGGATGCCTTTGATTATCCAGAGACCGAGTGGGAACAAGTTGAAGAGGGATTTCCAAAATTGAAAGTGTTAGTCTTCAGCCGTCAAACACTTCGTAGATGGAAAGACAGCGATTTCACTTTCCCAAGCCTTGAGTGCCTGGTGCTACAGAATTCCAGTGAGTTGGAATCACTCCCTTATGAGTGCCTTTTTGGATGTCCATGCCTTGAGCTAATTGATTTGGAAGGGTGTAGTGATGGAGTTTTAGAGTCTGCAAAGAAAATTCAAAATGATGGAGATGGCAAGCTCGAGGTCCGCTATTAAGGTATATATTATTAGATGTTTCTTTTACTTAAGACTGTCTTACTTTATAATTTACACTAACTCGATCTTTGCTTATCTGCTCCATATACTTGTGACAAAAGGTGGAACTACCACCCTAGGCGTCAAGGAGCCTCCTCATTTTGAGAAGTTATGTCCACATTGTAATTGGTGAGACTCGATATGATCTTTGGTCTTTTACAATAAATTTTAATTTACCTCTATAACAAGTTGAGTTACTCATACGGGCATCTTCTCCGTGTACTACATTTGGATTACCAGTCTAACACTGTTTCTTACTTTGCAACACAGATTCAAGAGCGTCATATCAACTCATCTGAAGCAATCATCCATACATACCGCCTCTTAGAATGAATCCTATTGCTATGGTTTCTCAATTATATTGTGATTTAAGATTAGAAAATTCACATCTTTGTTTTGGTTTTGCAATGCATGTAATTCTTCCTTTTCTTTACCAAATTGTGCTTTCATTTTGAGCAGAAAAATTGTTCCCTTCAAACCTGGGAGTGCTTCCTAATAAGGAAAGAGACTGTTGGTTTATTGTTTATTGTTATTGTTGTTGTTGCTGCTACTGCTTTGATTTTATGCAAGTTTTATGTGTTGAGTTTGTATGGATTATTGAATAGTGAATCACAAATGGTATTATTTGATAAAAGGTAAAATTGTAATTTATGTCATTCACAAATATGCTAATTATTAATGTCACATTTGAATTATTAATGGTGTAAATGTTATTCATCAAATTTTAAAATGTGACATATATTGCCCCTCTCCTAATAGGAAGAAGGAAAAACATTGTTGTTAGCAGAAATCGGAAGGAGAACAAACAAAGAAAGAAAAATGGAGAAAAAAATGTGGTCTTCGAACAGAGGAAACAGTGGGTAACTACATTTATACCATTAATAATTCAGGAGAAGGGCAATATATGTCACGTTTTGAAAATTGAGAGACAACATTTACATCATTAATAATTCAGATGTAACTTTGATAATTGACATATTTGTGAGGGTCATAAATTACAATTTTTCCATTCATAAAATTTATACGTGTTTATTAAATTATTAGTTATGGGGATTACACAATGTAATATTATTTACATCTCCTATTATGTGAGAGTGTGAGACTTTTTTTATGGTTTTAAAAATGAAAGCCTTTTTTGCTAGTCTCTGGATTCGAAAGTTTATTCTTGATTATGGTGGACTGGTTCAACATACGTTTCTCAAATTATATTTTTTAATTTTGTTTATTACTGGTTTGGAAGTTTGTTAACAATTTGATGAGTGGAGTGAGAATTTTGAAACTTAAAAAAAAAAAAAAAATACTCATAATTCTTTACAAAGTAATATCTATTATTTATTTTCTCAATCTTTTTCAATCCAAAAAATCATTATCCCCACCACCGGGTTTGGTCCTGGAGTCAAAGGGACTCTTTGACTTTGTTTTTAGGTTGCCGGAGACGAAGAGATGGTCTCTTCATCTCCGTCCTTCGTCTCCAGGCTGCCTGGAGATGAAGGTCTCGTTGTCTGATCAAGCAGCTCGGAGACGAAGATAGGGGTGTGCAAATTTCGGAGAAATTTCGGTTAACCGACCGAACCGACGTAATTCGGTTAACCGTTTTTTAATCGAAATATTTCGGTTCGGAGAATGGTTAAAGGTTTTTTCAAAATTCGGTTAACGGTTAATTCGGTTCGAAAATGTCGGTTAACCGAATTAACCGATCGGTTAACCGAATTTTGAAATATATATATAATATATTAAATATTAAATATAAATATATAATATGTACTAAAATCCCAAATAGTCAAATGGATTATGGACTTATGGTATTGTTTTTGTATGTTTTGATATGAATTTATTATGATATCTATTTTATTTTAATTGAATTTATTATTTTAGGAGTTATTTTTAGGATTTTCAATTTTAGGGTTAAAAATTTCGGTTAATCGGTTAACCGACCGATTAACCGAAAAAAAGTTCGGTTCGGTTAATTCGGTAGATAAAATTTCGGTTCGGTTAACGGTTAAGGCAAAAAAAATTTCGGTTAATTCGGTTCGGTTAAAACGGTTCGGTTAACCGAACGGTTAACCGAATGAACACCCCTAGACGAAGAGGTCCGACTTTGATTTTTTTTTTTTTTTAATTTAAAATTATTAAAATAAGGAATAAGAGTCAAGTAGGTCTCTCAACTACACACTAAATTGTAATTAGACTATTGAATTTAAAAAATACAATTGGGTTCCTGAACAACACAAAATCATACAATTAGACCCAACGCTTTGTCCTCATGTTTAATTTTTTTTTTTTAATTGATCATTCAACGTCGATTCTAATAGAAACTGACGTTTTGTGCTCATGGATTTAAAAATTAAATACAGAATGATACATAAAATGTCGATTCTAAGTAGAACAGAAGTTTTAAGTTAATTTTTTTTAAAAAAATTAAATGTTCTCGTTTTTATGTTTTTTTTTTATGTTTTTTTTTTAGGGGAAGTTTTTTCATTTAAAAAAGTGTACAGATATAAACTAGCATCCTAGTAGGGTTAACTTAAACTCAAAACACTTTGAGTTCTTATATATTTTTATATACTCAGAAGGGTCAAGACTAGCTCGACCATCTACTAGACGATGATGAAGACATGGCCGATGACGTCGATGGTGACGATGAATTGAAGCCGCTGCGGATGATGACGATTAATTAAGCCGTTGCGATTTGTAACAGCCCTAGGAGATCAACGAGGAAAGGAAATGGGGAAGGGAAATTGCAGAAAAAAAAAAGGAAAGATTGCAGAGAAGAAATTGAGAGATTGAGAGAAGAAAATGGAAGAAGACTTAGAGAGAAAAGGGGTAGTAAAAATAGTAATTCATATTCATTCCAAAGATGATCTCCAGTACTGCCATACTATCCCTATATTTGTGATGATCTAAGGGCTTAAGAAGAAATTTAGGTGAAGAAAGGACTGATATTTGTAGAAAGAAGGGAAGGGAAAGAACAGAAAGAAAGGGAGGGAAGGGAAAGAACAGAAAGAAAGGGAAGAAGAGAATTTCAGAGGGTTGCAGAGAAGAGTGAAGAAGAAAATATAATTTCATTCATTTTATTTCATAATCCTGCCAATACATTCGACTCTATCTTATAGCCTATTCTAACAAACTCCTATAAACAAGGAAGATAAAGATGGAATATAACAGCTGTATGTATTCAGAATAAGATAGCAACAAAACAACTGCAAAAATAATAAAAGGAAAATGACAAAGGAAAATAACACAGATCAACCTCCTTGGTTCATAACATTACTCCCCCCTTAGATCCTTGTCCCCAAGGATCCTAGTTTGGGAAATGTTTAACTAAATGTTGGAATTCATCCTTTCTCCCCCTCCATAGTATTCCAGAATACTCCAACCTCTTTAGACCTCACTTCTGTTTGTTGTGGCTTTGCTTCATCCTGTTTTTGCCATTCATTATTCTCCCCTATTCCTTTTATTGCAGCAATGGAAGGTTTGGGCTTACACTTATGACCATACTGCCATCTTTCTTTGCAATTGAAGCATAGTTTTTGGCCCTTCAATCTATCCATCTCAGAGTTGTTCCTCATATCCATTGTGTTAGTATACCCTTCTTGCCCATGTGGTGGTAGCAATCTAGCAGTGCCATTAGGATTCGCAGTTTGGTTTCTCTGTGGATACGGCAGCTCAAGGAAGAAGTCTGGGCCTTCATCCCTTGTTCAAAATGCTTGGCTAGCCAAATGGCCTCCTCAAAATTTTCTGGTGATAGCTTGTCTAAGCCTGCACACATAATTTTCTAAAAAATATTCTTCTGTTAAATAAGGCCTCACTTGGAGCAAAATGCTTCTCATCTCTTCAAATTTATCAGTGAATTCTTCCACATTCCCTGACTGTTTAAAAATGGTGAATTCTTCATCTATAGAAGCAGTACCAAGGCTAAACCGTCTACAAATAGCTTCTACAAAGTGTCCCCAGTTAAATCCACCTCTCATATTGTTTAAATAACCTTCAAGCAAGACTCCTACTTTCCCAGACAGATTTAATGTTAAATAATCTAAATAAAGGGCTGGTGGGGTTTGAGAGATCATGAAATACCTTTCCATCCACCCTCCCTGGGATTTAAGTAGCAAAGAAGGGAAGGGAAAGAACGGAAAGAAAGGGAAGAAGAGAATTTCAGAGAGTTGCAGAGAAGAGTGAAGAAGAAAATATAATTTCATTCATTCTATTTCATAATCCTGCCAATACATTCAACTCTATCTTATAGCCTATCCTAACAAGCTCCTATAAATAAGGAAGATAAACTGCAAAAATAATAAAAGGAAAATGACAAAGGAAAATAACACAGATCAACCTCCTTGGTTCATAACAATATTCTAGTCATTCAATTCAACAAACTCTTAATTTAGCGGAAGGGATCTTAAGGAAGGGATAACAGAAGAATTAACACTAAGAAAATTAACATGGGAAACTAATATGAAGTATTTATTAATACGGTGTCGTTTTACTCCTAGCAAATCCATGGTTCGTGACATCTCCTCTCCATCCTCCAGATGATCCTTGAGGACAAGGATCAGAATTTTCTAAAAGTAAAACCAGATGCATCAATTTCCCTCCATCTGTGATGTAGTCTCATAATTTGTGGGTTGTATGCAAGGTTTGATCCCCATTATCAAAAACCATTTCCCAAAATATTTGCTGCTTAGGGTGTTCCAGGTTTTTTAGTCTCAACTGCGGAAGGAATTTGCCATTCATTATCATCCTCTACTCCTCCTCTACTCCTTCTATTGCAGCCAACGAAGGTTTGGGCTTACACTTATGGTCGTACTGCCATCTTTCTTTGCAATTGAAACAAAGCTTTTGACCCCTCAATCTATCCATATCAGAGTTCCTCTCATTCATTGTATGAATATCTCCTTCCTGCCTATGTGGTAGGGGTCTAGGGAAGCCATTGGAGCCATTAGAATTCCCAATTTGGTTCCTCTGCTGAAATGGAAGCTCATGGAAAAAATCAGGGGCCTTCATCCCTTGTTCAAAATGCTTGGCAAGCCAAATAGCATCCTCCAAGGTTCTTAGTCTTGAGGTCCTAACAAAACATCTAATGGCTTGACTGAGCCGGCATATGTAATTATTCAAGAAATATTCTTCATGAGGTGGGGATGTGTTTCTGCAACATAAGTGCTCTCATTTCTTCATATTTATCAGTAAAGTCCTTTACACTCCCTCAGCTCCTTGTTTTAAGTCTGTAAAATCTTCTTCCACAGATGCAGAAGCAAATCTAAACTGATCTTCGTTGTTCACCATTGTTGCTCAGGAAGGGGGCTCTGATACCAATTGTAACAGCCCTGGGAGATCAGACGAGGAAAGGAAATGGGGAAAGGGAAATTGCATAAGAAAAGGGAATATTGCAGAGAAGAAATTGAGAGATTGCAGGGAAGAAAACGGAAGAAGATTTAGAGAGAAAAGGGAGAGTAAAAATAGTAATTCATATTCATTCCAAAGATATCTTCACTACTGCAATATTATCCCTATATTCTAGCCATCCAATTCAATAAACTCCTAATTTAGCGGCAGGGATCTTAGAGAAGGGATAACAGAAGAATTAACACTAAGAAAATTAAAATAAGGAAACTAATATAAAGTATTACTCCTATTTCTCTTTTTTGATTTGGGTAATCTAAATCCCTATTCTTGGGGATTTTTTTCCGGGGTCAAGATTTTTTTTTTCTTTTGAATTTTCTTGACTCCATCTAATTTGTTGAGATTTTGAGTGTTCTGATCCGGATGTGGTGTTTGCTATTGTGTTTTTTGTGAATGTTTTTTAATTTTTTTTTTAAAAGCGATGCGACATTGGTTTTAAAAAAAACTGACATCGTATGTCTATTTTTTTTTTAAAGACGTACGATGTTGTATCTTAATTTTTTCTTTTTTAAAAAGGCATACGACGTCAGTTTTAGAAAACCGACATCGTATCATTTATTTACTACGTCGATGAGAATTGCATCGCAAAATAATCGACGTTTTTTTTTAAATTAACTTACGTTAAAAATGTTTTTTTTTTTTTTTTTTTTTTGTAGTGGTGTGTTACGAGATATGTTGAAACCACATCACTAATGCATGTTCATCATAGAAATATTGAAACAAAATAAAGGGAATAAATACAAATATGTCATTGAACTGTTTGTGAAACAACAATTAAGCCACTGAATTTAAAAATGCTCAAAAATAATTCTCTAACTCAAAAAAAGATTACAATTAACATTTTTAACAGGTTAATATTCGATTTCTGTTAATTGAATTGCCAGGTGTAATTGTGTTTTTCATATTATCCTACTTGAAAATTTAAAATACATGTAAACATTTGATCCAATTCAAAATTAAATTTAAATCCCTAATTTCTTCTCTTTTCCCTTATTTGCGCCAGACCTTCTCTTCAGCTTCAGCTCTCTCTAGTACCTTCAATGTCCAAATGCTAATATTTAGAATTGTCGGTCAGGCAAAGAAAAATCACCCAATGCTTCAGTAGCATCAATAATTAAAGGTCTATCCATTCAATAATCTGAATATCAAAACCAAACACAGTAACATCAAGAATATAATTTGGTCGATTGAATATTGCGGAACGGACTCGGAAGAGAGGGATTATAAAAAACAGAACTGCATACTCCCACAAATTTCTATGTTTGGTTTAGGATAATAAGAAAAAATAAATAATTACACATGGCAATTTTTTTTATATCAAAGGAGGGGATACCCAAGAAAAAAAACTAAACTAGCTATTGGCGCCACATAGAGATGCCATCTAAATCATCATGAAGCACGTTCAAAACTTCGTCCGGTGGATTATATAGGATATGCAGACCTTTAGGGAAATGCTTGGCTCTACGTGCTATGGCGTCGACCAAGCGATTTTGTTCTCGAACTGCTAGCGACAACCTCCATGTATTGATTGTGCTTAATTCCCGCATACAAGCCAACAGAAGGTTACGGAGGACATTGTTGTAGGCGTGGGTGGTGTTGACACTTTCATATAGCTCTCTGGAATCCGTTTCGAAGGTAACATCTGTAAGACCGAGGTGCTTTACCAGTAGAATGCCTTTCAGTAGAGCCCAAGTCTCGGCTTCAAGTACGTGGTGAGCAGCAGCCAATGCTATACAAAAAACTTGCCACCCATCGGCCTTCGCCGTCTCTGATAACACCGCCGCAACCTGCCTTGCCATTATGGATGTCTACAGAGTCGTCTAAGTTTATCTTCACCGTGCCTTCAGATGGTGCGAGCCAACGAAATTTCGACCATGAGTTCCAAAAAGCAACGTCTCGAGAGGTTTTGGAACCTGCAAAGGCCTTAACGGCTTGTTCAACTTGGAGTTTAAACCATGCAACCTTGAAATTGGCGGTTCTTTCCAGGTTATTAAAGATCCTGTCGTTCCTCCACCTCCAGATCCACCATAGGGTGATAGCAAAGAGAGCTCCTTCATTGCAGGGGTGGTTGGCAGTGTGGTTGCCTTTGATGCCCGACTGGAGCCATTCGTTAAAGGGAAGGTGTGAGTTCGCTGAGATAGTTGGAAGGATTCGCTTCAAAACCTCGGCTGCTGCTGGACAATTGCGAAGTACATGCTGGATGTCTTCCACTTCGGTCACGCAAAGGGAACATTTGTCGTAGCTTGCGATGCCTCGCTTGACTCTGTTACTATTGGTGAGTATTTTACCATGAACCACTAACCAGATGAACGTGCAGACCTTGTTTGGAACCTTTAACTTCCATAAGTTGTTCCATTTGGAAGCTTGGACCTTATCTGTTAAGCCTAAAGCCACGTCATATGCAGTGTTGACAAATATGTTCCCTTACACATGGCAATTTAATAAGCAAAAACCGGACAGTAACTTATTAAAAATGCTAATTGTAATTTTTTTTCAGAGTTTGTAGATTATTTTAGAGTTTTTTTGAGTTCAGTGGTTTAATTAATGTTGATGGACTAATTGGCCCGGTTGCCCTGTATCAAATAACCCAATTAATTAAGGAACAAATAAATAAACGAATGAATATAGTAAATAACAAGTGACATATACAAGAAATGTATGTCACGGAGACAAAGATTGTATTGATGTTTGTGTAATGCTATTACAATAGATTGGATTATGTCTACAAGACAAGTAGGTGGATATTTATACTAAATGCAACCGTCCCCCTAAAAAGGAAGGATTAGTTGCAACTACTTGGATCACGCCTGGAACCTTCAACCGAAACCCAAGCTGAGGCATATAGGCCGGCCGAGGCCCAAGCCATGCTAGGTCGAGCACGGTGTGAATGTGATTATAATGAAATATAACAAATATAGATGATAGATGATTTTATTTTCCAATTGAAAAATAATTTTTAATAGTTTTTTAGTTTTCTAAAAGACTGGAGACCTGTTTCTTATTTTCAAAATGAAAAATTGTGCAACTTAACTTCTTCTTCTTTTTTTTTTTTTTTTTTTTTTTTTTTTCAAAATTCTCTAGTTTTTCAAAATTTTGGTGAAATTTTACAGTTAGTAAACAGATCCATCAAGTTCTTTTTATAATTGAAAATTTGTAATTTATGTCCTTCACAAATATGTCAATTGTCAACATGATCCCTAAATTATTAATAATATAAATATTTCTTTCAATTTTCAAAACGTGACATATATTGTCCCTCCCTTAAATGCCATTCTCAAAGTGAATGCCTTTAGCTAATTGATTTGGAAGGGTGGGGATCTGGTGTTTTAAGTTTTAAAGTCTGCAAACAAAATTCAAGATGATAATGGAGGTGACAAGACTACTTTCAACTTTTTTTTTAAAAAAAAAAAAAGAAAAAAAAAAGACTACTTTAAAAAAAAAAAAAAAAAAAAGGTGACAAGACCTAGGTAGGGTTTAAGCATTTTGAAATGTAAAATAATTAGATTCCTAAGTGGACCCCTGGTGGCCAAGTAAAAAGTAATACTGTGCATGCAGCTTGGGCATCATCAATAATATCAGGCCATAAGAAAAAGAAACTGGGAGGGCAGAGCTGATCTGAGCTTCAATTCATTCTTCAATTACTTTCCCTTCATCTCAATTCTCAATGGCCACCAAAACAACTCCCACTAGTGTAATAATGCCTCAACAAGTGTTCATGGCGGGTAACACCAATGCATTGGCAGAAATTATGGACAAGCTCACCAACCCCTCAATTAAAGAAAGGGAAGTCATCTCCATCACAGGAATGGGAGGTATTGGCAAGACAACTTTGGCAAAAAAAGTATATGAAGATAAAGGCATCAAGCGTCATTTTGACATTCAAGCATGAATTACTGTTTCTCAATCTTATTCCTTGGATGATTTGCTCCAAAAGCTTCTCCAATCAATTGAAGCTTCTTCTCCAACTGAAGGACAATCTGCAAGAACCTTCGAACTCAAGGATAAAGTCCGTAAGTTGTTGCTGGGCAATAGGTATCTAATTGTAATAGATGATATATAGATTACACAAGTTTGGGATGATTTGCAGATATGCTTCCCAGAAAAGAAGAATGGGAGTCGAGTATTGTTAACAACTCGACTCACATATGTGGCTACTTATGCTAGTTCTGGTGGTCTCCCATTTAGCATGCCTACCCTAAGCAAAGAAGAAAGTTGGGATCTTTTTTGCAAAAAAAAGTATTTGCAAAAGAATATTGTCCTCCTCCTATTGAATTTGAGAAAATTGGGAGAGATATTGTGATGAAATGCAAAGGATTACCACTCTCAATTATGGTGATTGCTGGGATTCTATCCAAAGCTGAAATGAAGGTGGAAGATTGGGAAAATGTTTCCAGCTCTGAAGCATTATCATCAACTTTATATGAGGAGCTAAATTGTGAAGAAATACTTTTATTGAGTTACAACCACTTGCCTCAAAATTTGAAGACTTGCTTCTTATATTTAGGAGTATTTCCAGAAGATTATGATATTCCAGTTAGAAAAATAGTTGGACATTGGGTCGCTCTGGAATTTGTAGAAGACGAGGCTTTGGTGGCAAACAAGAAAGAAGAAGTGGCATGGCAAAAGTTGCAAGATCTTATTGATAGAAATTTAGTTTGGTGGAAAAAAAGGGATGGACTGGAAGAATAAAGACGTGTAAGATGCATGATCTTACGCGTGAGATGTGCTTGAGACTAGCTAAAGGCAAAAATATATTGCATGTCATTGATTACAAGTTTCAAGTTGGACACTTCTCCAAAGAAATAAGTCAAGAAAATGGCAATATTTGGGTAAGCCTACAATCAATTTCTAATATTAGTTGTTTAGGTTTTGAGCATAGGACATTCCAGAAATGCCATTCCTTTCTTGCTATGCTTCCATTTAATAATAGATTCGAATCCCATGGAGGAAGTCCGATCCTTACCAATCACTTGTTCACAGCAACATTAATTCAAGTACTTGACCTACTTCAACTTTATGTTCCCAGTTTGCCTTAATCTCTTTGGATAAATAACTTAAGTGAGTTGAGGTATCTAGCTTTGTACATTGGTGCATTTCCTGGTTCCTTGTCCATTTTAAGCCGCTTGAAAAATCTACAAACGTTCGTTCTGCGTGGTCTAAACCCTTTTGAACAAGTACGCATAACCCTCCCAAAGACACCACAATTAAGGCAGCTTCGCATTTTGGGTCGCTCTTCATTTCATTTTAATGATGAAGAGAATTTTACATTGGAGAATCTGACAACGCTTTTGTGGTTAAGCCACTTTTGTTGCAAAAATGAAGCGTTGATGGTGAGGATTCCGAATGTAAAGAAATTGGGGGTAAAATATGACAAGTCCTATCGCAGTGAGAATAGACATCCTATTGACTTGCTCCATACTTTAAGCCATTTAGAACAACTTGAAAGCATCAGCTTTTGTGGATATAATTCGTTAAAGAAAGTTGGGCTAGTTTATAATATTCCAAAACCATATGATTTTCCATGGAAGCTCAAGAAGTTGAAATTTTCTGAGACTTGGATGAAATTGGAGATTATGACCATCCTTGGAAGGCTACCTAACCTCGAAATTCTCCAACTAGAAAGGGGTGCCTTTGATGATTTAGAGATCGAGTGGGAACAAGTTGAAGAGGGATTTCCAAAACTGAAAGTGTTAGTCTTCATTGGTCAAAGTTTTCTTAGATGGAAGGATAGCGATTTCTCTTTCCCAAGCTTTGAGTGCCTGGTGGTAAAGAATTCCGATCACTTGGAATCACTCCCTTATGAGTGCTTTTCTGGATGCCCATGCCTTGAGGTAATTCATTTGGAAGGGTGTTGTAGTGATGGTGTTTTAGAGTCTGCAAAGAAAACTCAAAATGATGGAGATGGCCAGCTCGAGCTCCGCCTAGAAAATATTATTACGAAGCCAGCTTAGCTGAGGTTACATTGCCTCCACAGTCTACTCTATATATGCATTATCTTCTATACATTTGGATTGTTAATTAGTCTAACACTATTTCTTTAATTTGCAAGACAGATTGAAGAGAACTGAAACAACAAGCATAGCATCACATGTTCTTCTACCACTTTGAAGGTAAGTTTGATGAGTCCAGCATCATATCAAACCGAAGCAATCACCCATACATATATACCTCTTAGCTCCCCTGCTACCTACTCTCCCAAAACAAATCCTAAGCTCTCTCAATTTTGTTGTGATTTAAGGTTAGAAATTTACATCTTTGCTTTGGTTTTGCCTTGCACCTTATTTTTCCTTTATCTTAGCAAATTGTGGTTTCATTTTGAGCTGAAAAATTGTTCCCTTCAAACCTGGGAGTGCTTCCCAAAGAATCATTGGTCACACTATCTGATTTGATCCTGTGACCATTCATTTGGAATGATAACAACAATATCATCACACTACATAGGAAATCTCAAGATACATGGTTGAACTCACAAGATGAGCAACAGAATCTCAATTCTCAAGCAATCAATTAAGATTGGGGTTTCATATGGGTGAAGAACGCCTTTGCAAACTCCGCTAGTTTCTCAGTTGAAGGCATCACATCCTTCACCGCATCATCACCGCAGAAATCTTCTGCCCAATTCACCAAACCAGGAACCTTAGCTTCATCCAGAAACTTAATACTGTTAAATGTCTCTATGACCCTTATCCAAGCCACTAAGCTTCCCAGTGCAATGTCCAAGAACCCAATTCTCTCTCCGCCAAAGAATTTCTTCCCTTTGCTGCAACTTTGGAAGGCACCCTCCAACGCTCCCAACCCTTCTTCCACCTCAACTATCGCTGCCTTTCTGGCTTCCACATCCTCAGCACTCAGCAGCTGCTATGGTACGCAGTTTTGGGAACCACTGTACCACAAAAAATTAACATTTCCCATCATAAGACCAACACAATCACAAATGGCAAATTATATCCTGAAGCAGGGTCCACTTTGTATTGTAGTTAACCGTTTATGTGTTTCTGAATAAATTGAAAATATATAAAATGGTAACTACAAACATAAACTATTAAATGCAAATACATAAGAGCATCCACACTAGTAGTTATTTAGGAGTTATTTCTACATGAATTCTCTCCACTCAAAGTTAATAGCTGATGTGGGGAAGAGTTATTTCAAAAATATTTCTTATGCAAAGTATGGTATATTTGTGGTCCCAATAAGTAATAGAAATAATTAAAATGTAGTGAGTTAAATGGTGGGTGCATAAAAGGGGAATTTTGCACAGATTTTAAGAAAAAAATGATGTGCTGGAGGAGAGAGGAAAGATGAGAGAGAGGGATGGGTTGTTTCTGTTATTTAGGGGATTTTGTCTGTATTTTAGGATTTTTAGGGGGTTTTGGGGTTCCCATTTTTACCCATTTCTCTTTTTTAATCACACCTGCAAAATCTCCTCAAAATCCTACCATTATTGAGGATGCCCTAATAGTGTGTATCAAATTAACAGTTTATGTGTTTACCATTTCCGTGTGGACCCTGGCCGACCAAGTAATATTGTTCAGCTTGGCCATATATCATCAATAATCTTTTTTTTTTTTTTTTTGGAAGTAACAAATTTATTAATCATAAATATGAACGTTTACAACAAAGCTAGTTGGAATGGTAAGCAATTCCTTACCGTCTAATACAAAAACAACTTCTCTAGTTAAGTTATAGAAAACTTGATTCGTGGACTGTTTCACAAATTAGAATTTAGGATCTTTGAAGGAACTTAATGCTTCTTTAGAATAATTAATGATCTATCCAAACATAGACAAGACTAGTTGAAAAGTCTTGCACACATCCTGCATATTCATTTCTATTTTTCTGTTCATTGACAATATTCCTATTTTAAAATACATGTCCGATCTTAAATCAGTGAATTTGACTTATTTATCATAGGGCAGCCTATCAAACGAGCTGAAGTGCATATCATAGTTCAGAGGCGTTTTTTTATTTTCATCTTTGTTGTTCAGAATGAGTTTCACATACATCAAAAATCATTTTTATCATATCACATTCCATGAAAACCTCATCAAAAAACAAGAAGAAATTCGTCCAAAAAAAAAAAAAAAAAAGAGATGAAATACACATATCTGCAAAACAACAAAACAATGAAACAAAAATACATAAAACAAAACATTCTCTCAAATGATCTATAGTCGAGGTATTGGGACCTTTGGGATTGAATATTCAATTTTTGAGAAGAAAAATACATAAAACAAAACAAAAGTGGGTGTGAAAATTGGAGACCCAACAGACAAAACGTGGGTGACAAAGTTGCAAAACAGAAGTGGGTGTAAACCCAACCACAAATCAAAGACAAAGCGTGGGTGGCAAAGTTGCAATTTGCAAACCCCACCACGAAGAATGCACGCACCCCTAGGCTTTCCCAAACCCAAAACCCACAACTTTGAAAACCAAAACTACCTCTACGGCGGGATTGCTTGTTTGAAATGCAGCAAGGGAGAGATGGAGGATGAGATGTGGAGGTAGGTGGGGGAGTAGCCTATTGAGGGTTTGTTTGAGCTGCTGCAAGGAGGAGGGGAAAAAATGAAGGAGGGAGAAAATTTGTAGAGAGAGAAAGCTGGAGAAGGCAGATTCATCAATAATCTCTGTAAGCAGATCTAGAAAAAGAAAAAGTGAGAGACAGACACTGGGAGAACTGAGCTTCATTCTTCAATTACTTTCCCTTCATCTCAATGGCCACCAAAACAACTTCCACTAGTTCTCGTCAGGGTGCTTCTGCTACAATTCCCCAACAAGTGTTCATGGTGGGTAACAGCAATTCTTTGGCAGAAATTAAGAACAAGCTCACCAACCTGTCAATTAAAGAAAGAGAAGTCATTTCCATCACAGGAATGGGAGGCATTGGGAAGACAACTTTGGCAAAAATAGTATATGAAGATAAAGACATCAAGCGTCATTTTGACACACAAGCATGGATTACTGTTTCTCAATCTTATTCCTTGGATGATTTGCTCCAAATGCTCCTCCATTCAAATGAAATTTCTTCTTCAACAGAAGGACAATCAGAAGGACAATCTGTTGGAACCTCCGAACTCAAGGAAAAAGTCTATCAGTTGTTGCTGGGCAAGAGGTATCTAATTGTAATAGATGACATATGGAGTACACAAGTTTGGAATGATTTGCAGATTTGCTTCCCAAAAAAGAGAAATGGGAGTCGGGTATTGTTAACAACTCGACTCACATATGTGGCTACTCATGCTAGTTCTGGTGGTCTCCAATTTAGCATGCATACCCTAAGCAAAGAAGAAAGTTGGGATCTTTTTTGCAAACAAGTATTTGCAAAACAAGAATCTTGTCCTCCTTCTAATGAGCTTGAGAAAATTGGGAGAGATATTGTGATGAAATGCAAAGGATTACCACTCTCAATTATGGTGATTGCTGGGATTCTATCCAAAGCTGAAATGAAGGTGGAAGATTGGGAAAATGTTGCCAGCTCTGAAGCATTATCATCAACTTTATATGAGCAAAATTGTGAGGAAATACTTTTATTGAGTTACAACCACTTGCCTGAAAATTTAAAGACTTGCTTCTTATATTTAGGAGTATTTCCAGAAGATTATGAGATTCCAGTTGGAAGATTAGTTGGACATTGGGTTGCTCTGGAATTTGTAGAAGATGAAGCTTTGGTGGCAAACAAGAAAGAAGAAGTGGCATGGCAAAAGTTGCAAGATCTTATTGATAGAAATTTAATTTTGGTGGGAAAAAGGGGACGGAGTGGAAGAATAAAGACGTGTAAGATGCATGATCTTACACGTGAGATGTGCTTGAGACTAGCTAAAGACAAAAATATATTGCATGTCATTGATGACAAGTTTCAAGATGGACAGTTCTCCAAAGAAATAAGTCAAGAAAATGGCAATTTTTGGGTAAGCCTACAATCAATTTCTAATATTAGTCGTTTAGGTTTTGAGCATAGGACACTCCATAAATGCCATTCTTTTCTTGCTATGTTTCCATCTAAATATAGATTCAAATACCGTATAGGAAGTCGGATGCTTTGCAATTACTTGTTCCCAGCAACATCAATTCACGTACTTGACCTACTTCAACTTTATTTGCCCTTTTTCCCTTCATCTCTTTGGATAAAAAACTTAAGTCAGTTGAGGTATCTTGCTTTGGACATTTCTGCGTTTCCTGGTTCCTTGTCGATTTTAAGCAGCTTGAAAAATCTACAAACGTTGATTCTGCATAGTGCATATCATTCTATTGAACTATACTCAACCCTTCCAAAGACACCACAATTAAGGCAGCTTCGCATTTTGAATAGATCTTCATTTCATTTTTTAAATAAAGAAGAGAACTTGATATTGGAGAATCTGACAACTCTTTTGTGGTTAAGTGACTTTTGTTGCAAAAATGATGCGTTGATGGTGAGGATTCCGAATGTAAAGAAATTGGGGGTAAGATATGAAAAGCCCAAACGCAGTGACAGTAGGCATCCTATTGACTTGCTCCATACTTTAAGCCATTTGGAACAACTCGAAAACATCAAGTTTTATGGAGATCCATCGTTAAAGAATGTTGGGGTAGTTTATATTCCAAAACCATATAATGAGGATTTTCCACAGAAGCTCAAGAGGTTGAAATTTTATAAGACTTGGATGAAATTGGAGATCATGACCATCCTTGGAAGGCTACCTAACCTCCAAGTTCTCCAACTAAAAAGGGATGCCTTTGATTATTCAGAGAGCGAGTGGGAACAAGTTGAAGAGGGGTTTCCAAAATTGAAAGTGTTAGTCTTCACACATCAAAAGTTTCGTAGATGGAAAGACAGTGATTTCACTTTCCCAAGCCTTGAGTGCCTAGTGCTAAAGAATTCTCGTAACTTGGAATCACTCCCGTACGAGTGCCTCTCTGGATGTCCATGCCTTAAGCTAATTGATTTGGAAAGGTGTGGTTATGGTATTTTAGAGTCTGCAAAGAAAATTGAAAATGATGGAGATGGCCAGCTCGAGGTCCGCAAATAATTATTTTTTACCAAGCCAGCCCTTGTTTCCCGGCGCACAAGAAAACCGTAGTAGGCCACTTCAATTAAGAGTCCAACTTATAACATTGTAATTACCAAGTCAACAATCTGACCAACTTAACTGAGGTTATGTTGCCTCCACAGTCTACTCTCTCTCTATATATATGCATTATCTTCTATACATTTGGATTGTTAATTAGTCTAACACCATTTCTTATTTCAACTACTTTGCAAGACAGATTGAAGAGAATGGAAACAACAAGCATAGCATCACATGTTCTTATGATCTACCACTTTGAAGGTAACTTTAATTTGATGACTCCAACATGCATCATATCAACTGAAGCAATCACCCATACACCCCTCTTAGCTCCCCTGCCACTTACTCTCCCAAAACAAATCATAAGCTCTGTCAATTTTGTTGTGATTTAAGGTTAGAAATTTACATCTTTGTTTTGGTTTTGCATTGCACCTTATTTTTCCTTTTTCTTAGCAAATTGTGGTTTCATTTTAATTGAGCTGAAAAATTGTTCCCTTCAAACCTGGGAGTGCTTCCCAAAGAATCATTGGTCACACTATCCAATTTGATCATGTGACCACCCATTTAAGAAATTGGTTTATTTGCTAAGCAGAACAATAAGTAGGAGGTCTCAAGTTGAGCAACATAGTAGCAGACTACATACATCTCAATTCTCAAGCAATCAATTAAGATTGGGGTTTGATATGGGTGAACATCGTCTTTGCAAACTCGGCTAGTTTCTCAGTTGAAGGCATCACATCCTTCACCGCATCATCAGCGCAGAAATCTTCTGCCCAATTCGCCAATCCAGGAACCTTAGCTTCATCCAGAAACTTAATGCTGTTAAGTGTCTCTATGACCGTTATCCAAGCCACTAAGCATCGGCAAATTATATTATGCACCGCGCGTCTTTTTTTTTTTTTAATGAAAATTAACAGTGTTTGTTTCCGTCGTTTCGCACCCTTTTGCAAAAAGTAACTCTGTTATTCAGTGTCATTTTGTATACACTGCAGTTTCAGTTGAACACAACTACAGTTTCATTTCGATATAACTATAGTTTCATTCGATATTTATAGACTCAAATATGTGAAAATGTTATTTAATTTTATTTTATATACACTATAGTTTCATTAAAACACAACTACATGATCATTTTGATATAATTACAGTTTCATTGTACAATATACACTCAAATATGTGAAATGTTATTCAGTTTCAGTTTATATACACTGCAGTTTCATCTCACTATAACTACATTATCATTTTGATATAACTGCAGTGTCGATTTGAATATACTATAGTGTCAATTGGAATTTAATACACCAAACAAGCGGACTCCGTTAACTCTAACGGCGGACCGTTTCTTTACTTAAAGAAACGGCGTCGTTTTTGACCGCGGTGCATAACGACTGGTAAGCATCCCAGTGCAATGTCCAAGAACCTAATTTGTCTCCGTCAAAGAATTTCTTCCCTTTGCTGCAACTTTGGAAGGCACCCTCCAAAACCCCCAACCCTTCTTCCACCTCACCTATCGCTGCCTTTCTGGTTTCCTCATCCTCAGCAGCTGCTTTGGTGCGCAGTTTTGGGAACCACTGTAGCACCAAAATTAACAATTCCCATCGTAAGACCAACACAATCACAAACCACAAATTGTGATTGGGTCATCGAACTCTAAAAAATTGCAATTGAGTCACTAAACAATGAGAAATCATGTAATTGAATTAAAAGTGACATGTTTAGCCGTTGATGACTAACGTGATGGTTACCGGATTAAAAAAAAAAAAATCATTTTTAAAATTTTAAAAAAATTTACTCCAGACCACTTTGTCTTCGGCAGCCTGGAGGCTAGGAGACCTCTTCGCCTCCGGGTTGCAGGAGACAATGAGACCTTCATCTCTAGGACCGGATCTAGTAGTGGAGGTAATTATTCTTTGGGCTGAAAAAGATTTGAGAAAGTAATATACTACCTTGTAAAGTAATATATACTAACTTTGGAATAATGACCAGGGATCGAGTCTCACCATCGGCAGTGTGGGAGCAACCTCTCAAAGTGAGGGGGGCTCTTTGTGCGCAGTGAGCACCGGTCTAGCCTCTATGGTTCATGTTCGGTTGAGTCACCATGATTTACATCCTCCTAAATGCTCTGTCGGGCCGGGATGTGGGGGCCCTTAGGGTTGGGGTTCAGCCTTTTGGAATAATGAGTGTTTAACAAAAAAGTTTAAAAATCCCTACTCCTCCAAAACAATAATAAACAAAATTTAAAAATAAAATTGGAGAAACTTGTGTTGAACCAGGTCACCACAATTAATAATGAACTTTCGAATCCAGAGACTAGCAAAAAAGGCTTTCGTTTTTAAAACCATAAAAAAGTCTCACATAATAGGAGACGTAAATAATATTACATTGTATAATTCCCATGACTAATAACACGTATAAAGTTTATCAAATAAAACCATTTTTGATTCACTATTCAATAATCCATACTAACTCAACACATAAAACTTGCATAAAAGCAGTAGCAGCAACAACAACAATAATAATAAGGATTAATATTTGATGCACCGTCGGTGTATAGATGTTATACACTGGCGGTGAAGGAGAAGATGCCACATCATTAAAAAAACAAATTCAATATTAACCGGGTCCTTTTTTACAAAATATCTAAGACTTGTATTTTATTAGGTAAATCTTTTATTTCTAATTAACAAAATATATTTACTTTTCTAAACATAGTTATTACTTGATTATTATATATCTAATTATTAACAATTTTACACTTTCAAGTTCAATTCTACGACAGTGACAATGAAACCTGTATCATCCGTATGATTAATAATATTGTTAACATGTTTTATACTTAAAATTAAGAATTCTAATTGAAATAAAATTTTTTAATTTTAATTAACAAAAATCATCTAATTTCTTATATTTATCTAAACTCCTAAATCTATTTAAACCCCTAAACCCTTAAATTTAAATTACAACCTTAGTCACTATTACAAACAATTGCAACATCTTGTAAGAATACATATTTAATAATGTAAAAAAATCAACACTTGATCAAATATATTATATAATAGTCAAATTATATCTTAAAACTTATTAGAAAGTTAAAATGTAATATTCAACACAACAGTATCCAATAATGTAAGAAATCAAATTTGTAAACTAGGATGATGAAACATAAAACGAGCCACAAATTTGGTGAGGAGCCACAAATTATTTCTAATCATGACTAAGGTTGTAATTTAAATTTAGGAGTTTAGGAATTTAAATAAATATAAGAATTTAGATAGATATAAAAAATTAGATGATTTTTGTTAATCTATACTATATATAAAAACAAAATTCTGCAATTTTAACTTCCCGCCCAATTCCTAAAAAATCTCTCTTCCTGATAAAATATATTGATTTCTACTTTCCTATTCGTACAATAATTCTGGGTTAAAATTCTATTCTAATATTATAAAATACTGTAATACAATTCCTATTGTAATCTATCTATCTATCTTTACATCTATACTATATATAAAAACAAAATCCTGCAATTTTAACTTTTCGCCCAATTCCTAAAAAATTTCTCTTCCTGATAAAATAGAGTGATATCTACTTTCCTATTCGTACAATAATTCTGGGTTAAAATTCTATTATAATATTATAAAATACTGTAATACAATTCCTATTGTAATCTATCTATCTATCTATACATCTATACTATATATAAAAACAAAATTCTGCAATTTTAACTTCCCGCCCAATTCCTAAAATATCTCTCTTCCTGATAAAATATATTGATTTCTACGTTCCTATTCGTACAATAATTCTGAGTTAAAATTCTATTCTAATATTATAAAATACTGTAATACAATTCCTATTGTAATCTATCTATCTCTCTATCTATACATCTATACTATATATAAAAACAAAATCCTGCAATTTTAACTTTCCGCACAATTCCTAAAAAATCTCTCTTCCTGATAAAATATAGTGATATCTACTTTCCTATTCGTACAATAATTCTGGGTTAAAAACAAAAACAACACATATAAATTTTGGGTTAATATTTCCCAAACCGCCCTAATAATAAATAATAATTTTTTTTATCGCGCCGCTGGCCGCGGCTAAGAAGTCCCGAATCGGCCTCCTTCGCGGCTGCTTCGCTGGCTGTACCGGCGATTATTTTTTTTTTAATTTTTTTTATAAGTTGTAAAGTATCAAAAATCCGGCAAGACATAACTTTTGACTCGATTGTCCGTTTTGGACAAATGTTTTTTTAAAATCGCGTATTTTTTCGAGATCTATCCACCGCAAACTGCCGTTGGCGGTTTGGCTCACTAATTTCTAAAAAAAATGCTTTATTAAATAGTTTCTAATAAAAAATATGAGAACCTTATGTTTTATTAATGAATTTTTTAAATTTTTAATTAAAAAATGTCTTGTGTATTATTTAATAATCTCTCTTTATAATTGGTTAAATTATTTAATTATGTGAAATTAGAAAATAATTAATGATGGTAATAGAAATCCTAGAAGAATATAGAATTGAAGAATATTTAATTATTGTTATATTATTATTGTGACTCATGGAATACAATACAAGAATATTTAATTAGGGTTATATTATTATTGCGCCTCACGGCCATTATATACTAACAGAACTTGAAAAGAAACTAATAATAATAATAATATAAGTGGTAATAATAATATCTAAAAGTAATTAAGTGTTAATAATAATAGTAAGAATATTAACGTAAGAATTACATTTGGAATATTCAGGAGATAAGCGACCTCTTATGAAATTAACTCTTAAATAATTATATATCAATTTAAATATTTTTAATATATTACAACAATTCCATTCCGTGCATCGCACGGATAAAAATACTAGTATTAATAACATTATTATCCCGTGCGATATATTATTATTTTTAATAGTTATCTACCTTATTGTGTAGTGAATGCAAATTTAACATCCGCAACAGCTTCTAATTTGCATGGAACTCGCAAAGATACATCACCTATCAATGTCTAGGGTTAGTAATACTCATGGTCTTAAAGTTTTTTTTTTTTTTTTTTTTTTTTTTTTTTTTTTTTTTTTTTTTGAAAGTTACTGGTTACCTGGTCTTAAAGTTTTAATTTGTAATGAACGTAAAGGTTTTTTGAACACTACTCAAAATGTTGTTTACAAAGAAATTTTTCATAATTTGTAATTTAAATTGTTGTCAATGTTATTAATTAATTTCTATTTTAATTGCTTTTATTTTATCCTTTAATATTTTAAATTGTTACTCGAACAATATGACCGTGCATCGCACAGGTGCAAATACTAGTTAAAATTAAAAATTCTTAATTATAAATATAATAATTTAGAAATTCAGTTCAATTAGAATTATAAATTTTAAGTACAGAACCTTTTAACAATATTTGTCAATCATAAGGAGGATCGTTATACCTTGCACCACGGTGCGCGTATCACTGTGCGCCTCTCAAAACGACATCGTTTTGGCAAGTTATGTAGGGAGTTGACGTGATTATGTGTATTGTTTATACAATTATGTGTATTGTTTATACAATTATGTGTATTTGTTTATACAATTATGTACATTTTTTATACAATCATGTACATTTTTTTTATACAATATGTACATCCGAAACAGGAAATTTATGTGTATTATGTTAATAGTTGATGTTTATTATATTAAAAGTTTATGTATATTATGTATTATGTTAGATTATATGTATTATCTTTTAAAAAAAATGTGTATTTTGTTGTACAATTATGTACATTCATGTATACAATTATGTGTATTCTAGTATAAAATTATGTACATTTTTGAACATGAATTTTGTTTTTAAAGAAAATTAACCGTCAACACAGGGTAGCGAAATTTCTAAAAAAAATAAAATAAAAATTTGAAACGACGTCGTTTTGCATCAGGGCGCACAATGCAATGCGCGCCCGCCCTGATGTAGGATATAAATTGCCTCATAAGGATGATACAAGCTTCATTTGTCACTGTCGTAGAATTGAACCTACAAGTGTAAAATTGTTTTTTTTTTTTTTTTTTTTTTATAACGAAAGTATAAAATTGTTAATAATTAGATATATAATAATCAAGGAATAAATATGTTTAGGAGAGTAGATATATTTTGTTAATTAGAAATAAAAAACTTACCTAATAAAATGAAGTCTTAGATATTTTGCAAAAAAAAGACCCGGTTAATATTAACTTTGTTTTTTTAATGATGTGGCATCTTCTCCTTAACCGCCAGGTATAGCATCTATACACCGACGGTGCATCAAATATTAATCCTAATAATAAATAATAAACCAACACTGTCCCTTTCCTTATTGGGAAGCACTCCCAGGTTTGAAGGGAACAATTTTTCAGCTCAAAATGAAACCACAAATTGGTAAGGAAAAGGAAGAATTACATGCATTGCAAAACCCAAAACAAAGATGTGAATTTTCTAATCTTAAATCACAATATAATTGAGAAATCATAGGATTCATTTTGGGAGATCAGAGTAGGTGGCAGGGGGGAGCTAAGAGGCGGTATGTATAGATGATTGCTTCAGTTGATATGATGCTCTAGAATCTGTGTTGCAAAGTAAGAAATAGTGTTAGACTGGCAATCCAAATGTATAGTATATGGAGCAGATGCCCGTATGGGTAGCTCAACTGGTCATAGAGGTAAAATTTGTCATAAGAGACCAAAGATCGAGTCTCAGACAGTAGTGTGAAAACAACCTTTCAGAATGAGGGGCTCCTTTTGCGTCTGAAGTGGGCGATTCCACCTATTGTCACAAGTATATGCAAATAATGCAAAGAGTAAGAAAGTCTAAGTAAAAGATTCCATACCTTAATAGCGGACCTCGAGCTTGCCATCTCCATCATTTTGAATTTTCTTTGCAGACTCTAAAACTTCATCACTACACCCTTCCAAATCAATTAGCTCAAGGCATGTACATCCAGAAAGGCACTCATACGGGAGCGATTCCAAGCTTTTCCAACTCTTCATCACCAGACACTCAAGGCTTGGGAAAGAGAAATAGCAGTCTATCCATCTACAAAGAGTTTGAGATTTGAAGACTAACACTTTCAATTTTGGAAATCCATCTTCAACTTGTTCCCACTCGGTCTCTGAATCATCAAAGGCATCCCTTTCTAGTTGGAGAACTTGGAGGTTAGGTAGCCTTCCAAGGATGGTCATCATCTCCAATTTCATCCAAGTCTTAGAAAAGTTCAACTTCTTGAGCTTCGGTGGAAAATCATATGGTTTTGGAATATGTACTAGCCCAACTTTCTTTAACGACAGATATCCATAAAACTTGATGCTTTCGAGTTCTTCCAAATGGCTTAAAGTATGGAGCAAGTCAATAGGATGCCTACTGTCATTGTAGTTGTGCTCATCATATCTTACCCCCAATTTCTTTACATTCGGAATCTTCACCATCAACGCTTCATTTTTGCAACAAAACTCACTTAACCACAAAAGCGTTGTCAGATTCTCCAATATCAAATTCTCTTCATCATCTTTAAAATGAAATGAAGAGCAATCCAAAATGCGAAGCTGCGTTAATTGTGGTGTCTTTGGAAGGGTTAAGTATACTTCAACAGTGTAATAACTACGTAGAATCAACGTTTGTAGATTTTTCAAGCTGCTTAAAATCGGGAAGGAACCAGGTATTGCACCAATGTACAAAGCTAGATACCTCAACTGACTTAAGTTATTTATCCAATGAGATGAAGGGAAAAAGGGCAAATAAAGTTGAAGTAGGTCAAGTACTTGAAGTGATGCGAACATGTTATAGCTAAGGATCGGACTTCTTTGACGGTATACGATTCTATATTTAGATGGAACAACAAAGGAATGGCATTTCTGGAGTGTCCTATGGTCAAAACCTAAATGACTAATATGATGGCAATTCTTATGAATTGATTGTAAACTTACCCAAAAATAGCAATCATTTTCTTTTTGATTTGGTTCTCGGAAGGACTGTCCAACTTGTGATTTGTCATCAATGACATGCAAAATATTTTTGCCTTTAGCTAGTCTGAAGCACATCTCACGCGTAAGATCATGGATCTTACACGTCTTTATTCTTTTACTCCATCCTCTTTTTTCGACCAAAATTAAATTTCTATCAATAAAATCTTGCAACTTTTGTCATGCCACTTCTTCCTTGTTTGCCACCAAAGCCTCATCTTCTACAAATTCCTGAGCGACCCAATATCCAACTAATTTTTAACTGGAATCTCATAATCTTCTGGAAATACTCCTAAATATATGAAGCAAGTCTTCAAATTTTCAGGCAAGTGGTTATAACTCAATAAAAGTATTTCCTCACAACTTTGCTCCTCATATAAAGTTGACGATAATGCTACATCTCTGGCAACATTTTCCCAATCTTCCACCTTCATTTCAGCTTTGGATAAAATCCCAGCAATCACCATAATTGAGAGTGGTAATCCTTTGCATTTCATCACAATATCTCTCCCAATTTTCTCAAATTCAATACAAGGAAGACGACAAGATTCTTTTGCAAATACTTGTTTGCAAAAAAGATCCCAACTATCTTCTTTGCTTAGGGTAGGCATGCTAAATGGGAGACCACCAGAACTAGCATGAGTACCCACATATGTGAGCCGAGTTGTTAACAATACTCGACTCCCATTTCTCTTTTCCGGGAAGCAAATCTGCAAATCATCCCAAACTTGTGTACTCCATATGTCATCCATTGCAATTAGATACCTCTTCCCCAGCAACAACTTACGGACTTTATCCTTGAGTTCGGAGGTTCCTGCAGATTGTCCTTCTGTTGGAGAAGAACCCTCAATTGATTGGAGGAGCATTTGGAGCAAATGATCCAAGGAATAAGATTGAGAAACAGTAATTCATGCTTGAGTGTCAAAATGACGCTTGATGCCTTTATGTTCATATACTTTTTTTGCTAAAGTTGTCTTCTCAATACCTCCCATTCCTGTGATGGAGATGACTTCTCTTTTTTTAATTGAGGGGTTGGTGAGCTTGTCCATAATGTCTTCAAATGCATTGCTGTTACCCACCATGAACACTTGTTCGGATTTGGTGGCCATTGAGATGAAGGGTAAGTAATTGAAGAATGAATTGAAGCTCACCTTTCCCAGTGCCTCTCACTTTTTCTTTTTCTTAGATTTGCCCGTTGAGATTATCGATGATTGCCAAACTGCACAGTATTACTTGGCCGGCCGGCAGAGCAATTATTTTACATTTCAAAATACTTAAACCGTGTGGACCCTAGGTTTGGTCACCTCCATCACCGTGTGGACCCTAGGTTTGGTCACCTCCATCATCTTGACTTTTTGTTTGCAGAGAGTAAGACCCATTTAATAACCGAAATTGTTTTCTATTTTCTGTTTTTAATGTTTCAATTTTTTTTTTTTTTTTTGGTTTCCTATTCTCTCTAGAAAACTTATTTATTAACAATTACGGAGTATTTTTTTAAATTAACGTCATAAAATTAAATATATTTAGTTTAAATAAAATAAATATAATTTTTACTTTTTAGTACAATATATGTAAGATTTTAACCTTAGATATCCGACTTAAATTTATATATGTAATTCTATAACTGTAAAAATAATATATCTAAACTAAAAACCTATTAGTTTAGATAATATTAATATTTGAGTTAATTACCAAAATGGTTCATTGACTATAGTAAAATTACTAATTTGGTCCGTGACTATTTTTTTTGTCGAAAAATACGTCGGATATTCAATGATCTATGATAGTAGGTTATTTACCCGTATTTGGGCTTCATTGTATCAAAATGCATTGTTAATGAGTGTAATTGCACCTTTAAAAAGTTTGAGGGGCTAATTGACTCTTTAGCAAAAGTTTGAGGGCCTATTTGACCCTATATATATATATATATATATATATATATATATATATATATAGTTGGGTTCCAATGAGAACACTTGCTTAGGTGAGAACGTGAGAACAAATCGTGTGCATCCATCTAATATTTTTTAATGGTCTAGATTAGATTAAGTGTGTGCGAACACGCATTAAATGTGTGCAAACGCGATTAAGTATGTAAGTGTGTTGCACACACTTAATCTAATCTATACCATTAAAAAATATTAGTATTGTACCCGTGCAATGCACGGATAATTAAATATGCAATGTTTAGTTTTTATTGTACCCGGAACCGCAGTCACCCCTATGCCCGCCTAGCTGATGCATAAATAACTAAATATGCCATGTTTAATTTTTATTTTTTTATTATTATTTTATTTTTACTTTGCTTCCTCTCTCCTCCCACTCTCTTTCCAACATAACAAAAACCACCAAAAAACTACTATTAAGTATTGATGCTCTTATTTACATCATAGGCTAGCTACAAATCAATAGTTCAAGTTCTAAAGCTAACAATCTATACTATAATCGATTCCAAAAGTTTACGGGTTCTACGTCACGTTCTCAACTAACCACAAGGTCTAGATCCAGAAATAATTTTTTATTTTTTTTTAAACATAGATATATATATGATGTTCAAAATTTAAAGACAAGTTTATTTGCTAAGCAGCAAATTTGCAGAAGCAGAACAATAAGTAGGAGATCACAAGATGAGAAACAGAGTAGCAGACTACTATACATCTCAATTCTCAAGCAATCAATTAAGATTGGGGCTTCATATGGGTAAACATCGTCTTTGCAAACTCGGCTAGTTTCTCAGTTGAAGGCATCACATCCTTCACGGCATCATCACCGCAGAAATCTTTTGCCCAATTGGCCAAACCAGGAACCTTAGCTTCATCCACAAACTTAATGCTGTTAAATGTCTCGATGACCCTTATCCAGGCCACTAAGCATCCCAGTGCAATACTGCAATGTATAGTCAAGGTATTAAATTAACACTTTTGAAAGTCAGAGGTTGGATCACTTAACACAAGTTCAATAATCGATGGATCAAAATTGAAATTTACTCTAAAAATAAATTGCGCTACGAGCTATAACTTTTAGCGGATTGATAAACGTTTCATCCTAACAAGTGGTCTCGGAGAGATAAGAGATACGGTTCCAAGGCTCAACAAGAGCAGTAAAGACTGACTGGTGTTATTGGAAGGGAAGTTGGCACCATATAGTTAGCGAATTGTTAGACAGAAGCCGGTAAAAGGTGAAGTTTAGTATTGTTAAGGTATTGTTTTTATATATTTTCTTATGGATTTAATATTATAGGTATTATTTTTAGGATTTAAAACTTTAGTTTAAAAAAGTTCGATTAAACAACCGATTAACCGAAAAAAACTTCGATTTGGTTAATTCGGTAATACAAAGTTCAGTTCGTTTAATAGTTAAAGGTTTAAAAACTTCGGTAAAACGGTTCGGTTAACCGATTGCACACCGCTAACAACAATACCACCACCACCAACAACTACCACCATCACCACATCATCATTATTATTACTAGTAAGTGTCCCGTGCGATGCACGAATTATTATTAATTTAACAAATGAGCAAATTACACTTTTGGTCCTATGACTATAGGGGGTGTGTTAATTTTGCTCCATGACTTTTACAACTAACAATTTAGTCCTTTAACTATGTTTTTTTTAGTAGATTTGGTCCTTCCGGCCAAATCACCGGTGGAAATTGGCCGGAAAAACTTAAACCTTTTTAAATTTTTTATTCATGAGGGCAAAATAGTCTTTTTACGTAAGCTTCTTCTTCTTCACGTTCATGAGCTACGGCTAACAGTTGCCCCTGCTTTCAAGAAAGAACAGCTCCAAGAATCGAAACCCTAGGTTTAGAAGCAAGGTATGATTTTTATCCTCAGCTTTTTCTTCATGTCTACTGCGCATTTCTTGATTCATCTTACCCAGATCGCACGGTATAAAGCTCTATAAGAGATCTAAACTCCCAGAAATATTCTTCTCCTTATTCTAGCCACAACCATCCTCCCAATTCAGCCACGACCAATCATGTCTACTGCGCATTTCTTGATTCATCTTACCCAGATCGCACGGTATAAAGCTCTATAAGAGATCTAAACTCCCAGAAATATTCTTCTCCCTATTCTAGCCACAACCATCCTCCCAATTCAGCCACGACCAAAACATAATTGTAATATTGGTTGTGATCCTGTGGATGATGGTTTATTTAATTTATAGTGTTGAAGTAGGTGTAGATGTTCATGTAAATATTGATTCTGAATTTTAAATTTATCTCCAATCAATTAATGTTAGAAACATAACATAATTATTGCAATGTTAATTCTCAATTATGGATCAACAATTATTACTCAAATTAATTTTGTGAATTACTCTCCTATCCACTAAAATCTTTTTGCTTATTATTCACTTTGATTTTCTTTTCATCTTTATTTAATTATTTATAATGATTATGATTAGGGAAAATATTTCCATAATCATTTTGCTTTAATATATAGAGATAGAGATAGAGATAGAGATAGAGATAGAGATAGAGATAGAGATAGAGATATAATATATAATATATGCAATATTTTACAAATTTATGATATAGACATGTTATGTTGACTAATTTAATAATTATGTTGATGTTGATTTGATTTGTAATTAAAATTACATGAATTTATAAATTAATGTAAATACAATAAACGCTTTAATAATTGTATTCCTTACAAGTTGTTCAGAGCCTCAAGTCTGAATGATGGATATATTATGATCGGAGCAAACTGACTCGAGAAAGCGAAGCAAGGAAGTATGGAATGGACTTAGGGCCCCGAGGTTGAGCCCCGTGCTCGGCCCAAGGCACCTCGCCCATGTTGAGCTCGACTCACCTGACCCGCGGACCCGGTCTCAACCTAGACGCGGTCAACACTGGAGATTCAACCACCCTCCGGTTTATGTGGGGCACTTAGGGATTTATTCTATATAAATACTCCATATTTTGTCTCTTTAAGACATGTTCAATCTATTCTAACTACTTTGTCCTAAAATTATTCAACTAAATACTCCATTCTCATATACTCATATCTTTCATAATTTGATAAAAACATTTTATAATTTAATACTAAGCCGTTTAGGCTTCAAACCCTCAAAAAAATAATCTCATTTATTCGAATGACACTTTAACATTTTTATTGAGGAATTTCAACCACCCTCACCGGCCAAACTTAGGGTCAACACGGTTTAAGCATTTTGAAATGTAAAATAATTGCTTATTAGCTACCTCAAACCGTGTTGACCCCGGCCGGCTAAGTAATACTGTGCATCTTGGCCATCATCAATGATCTCAATACGCAGATATAGAAAAAGAAAGAGTGAGAGACACTACTGGGAGAGCTGAGCTTCAATTCATTCTTCAATTACTTTCCCTTCATCTCAATTCTCAATGGACACCAAAACAACTTCCACAAGTGTTCGTCAGGGTGCTTCTGGCGCAGTGCCCCAACAAGTGTTCATGGTGGGTAACAACAATGCATTGGCAGAAATTGTGGGCAAGCTCACCAACCCGTCAATTAAAGAAACAGAAGTCATCTCCATCACAGGAATGGGAGGTATCGGGAAGACAACTTTAGGAAAAAAAGTATATGAAGATGAACGCATCAAGCGTCATTTTGACTTTCAAGCATGGATTACTGTGTCTCAATCTTATTCCTTGGATGATTTGCTCCAAATGCTCCTCCAATCAAATGAAGCTTCTTCTCCAACAGAAGGACAATCTGCAGGAACCTTCGAACTCAAGGATAAAGTCCGTAAGTTGTTGCTGGGGAAGAGGTATCTAATTGCAATAGATGACATATGGAGTACACAAGTTTGGGATGATTTGCAGATATGCTTCCCAAAAAAGAGAAATGGGAGTCGAGTATTGTTAACAACTCGACTCACATATATGGCTACTCATGCTAGTTCTGGTGGTCTCCCATTTAGCATGCCTACCCTAAGCGAAGAAGAAAGTTGGGATCTTTTTTGCAAACAAGTATTTGCAAAAGAAGAATCTTGTCCTCCTTCTAATGAATTTGAGAAAATTGGGAGAGATATTGTGATGAAATGCAAAGGATTACCACTCTCAATTATGGTGATTGCTGGGATTCTATCCAAAGATGAAATGAAGGTGGAAGATTGGGAAAATGTTGCCAACTCTGAAGCATTATCATCAACTTTATATGAGGAGCAAATTTGTGAGGAAATACTTTTATTGAGTTAGAATCACTTGCCTGAAAATTTGAAGACTTGCTTCTTATATTTTGGAGTATTTCCAGAAGATTATGAGATTCAAGCTAGAAGATTAGTTGGACATTGGGTCGCCTTGGAATTTGTAGAAGATGAGGCTTTGGTGGCAAACAAGAAAGAAGAAGTGGCATGGCAAAAGTTGCAAGATCTTATTGATAGAAATTTAATTTTGGTGGAAAAAAGGGGATGGACGGAAAGAATAAAGACGTGTAAGATGCATGATCTTACGCGTGAGATGTGCTTGAGACTAGCTAAAGGCAAAAATATATTGCATGTCATTGATGACAAGTTTCAAGTTGGACAGTCCAAAGAAAATGGCAATTTTTGGGTAAGCCTACAATCAATTTCTAATATTAGTCGTTCAGGTTTTGAGCATAGGACACTCCAGAAATGCCATTCCTTTGTTGTTTCATCTAAATATGGAATCGAATACTGTGGAAGAAGTCCGATTGTTAGCTATAACTTGTTCTCATCAATTCAAGTACTTGACCTACTTGAATTTTATTTGCCCTTTTTCCCTTCATCTGTTTGCATAAATAACTTAAGTCAGTTGAGGTATCTAACTTTGTACATTGGTGTATTACCTGTTTCCTTCTCGATTTTAAGCAGCTTGAAAAATCTACAAACGTTGATTCTGTGTTTTCATGACACTGATAAAGTATACTTAACCCTTCCAAAGACACCACAATTAAGGCAGCTTCGCATTTTGGGTAATTTCCCTTCATTTCATTTTAAAGATGAAGAAGAAGAGACTTTGATATTGGAGAATCTGACAACACTTTTGTGGTTAAGAGACTTTTGTTGCAATAATGAAGCGTTGATGGTGAGGATTCCGAATGTAAAGGAATTGGGGGTAAGATATGAACAGCCTGAATACAATGACAGTAAGCATCCTATTGACTTGCTCCATACTTTTAGCCATTTGGAACAACTCGAAAACATCAAGTTTTATGGACATCCATCATTAAAGGAAATTGGGCTAGTTTATATTCCAAAACCATATGATTTTCCACCGAGGCTCAAGATGTTGAAATTTTCTGAAACTTGGATGAAATTGGATATGATGACCATCCTTGGAAGGCTACCTAACCTCCAAGTTCTCCAACTAAAAAGGGATGCCTTTGATGTTTCAGAGACCGAGTTGGAACAAGTTGAGGAGGGATTTCCAAAATTGAAAGTGTTAGTCCTCACAGATCAAAAATTTCGTAGATGGAAAGATAGCGAGTTCACTTTCCCAAGTCTTGAGTGCTTGGTGCTAAAGAATTCGCCTCACTTGGAATCACTCCCTTATGAGTGCCTTTCTGGATGTCCATGCCTTAAGCTAATTCATTTGGAAGGGTGTTGTAGTGATGGTGTTTTAGAGTCTGCAAAGAAAATTCAAAATAATGGAGATGGCCAGCTTGAAGTCCGCGAAGAACGTATGTATTCTTACAGGGAATATAATGCTTAGAATCCCTGTATGAACTCTTCCAGGAAATGGAGGAGGAAATGGAGGAGGAAATGGATTAGAAACACAAAGGTCAGTTTACTCTATATATATATTTTACCAGTCCAGATCCACTCGGTTCGTTTCGAGAGACTCGGACAAGAGTTGATCCAAAGAGAATCGTTACTAATTGAACTTGGGTAAAAAAGCTCATTTGCTACTTGAGCTACTCTATATATGCATTATCTTCCATACTCCATATACATTTAAATTGTTAATTAGTCTGATCTAACACTATTTCTTATTTCAACTACTTTGCAAGACTGATTGAAGAGAACGGAAACAACAAGCATAGTATCACATGTTCTTCTACCACTTTGAAGGTAACTTTGATGAGTCCAGCATCGATCATATCAAACCGAAGCAATCACCCATACATACCTCTTAGCTCCCCTGCCACCTACTCTCTAACTCTCCCAAAACAAATCCTAAGCTTGATCTCTCAATTTTAAGGTTAGAAAATTACATCTTTGTTTTGGTTGTGCATTCCGCATGTTATTTTTCCTTTTTCTTAGCAAATTGTGGTTTGATTTTGATCTGAAAAATTGTTCCCTTCAAACCTAGGAGTGCTTCCCAATAAGTAAAGGGGCAATGTTAGTTTATTATTATTAGGGAAAATAGTAAAAAAAATGTCCCTCTATAATATGCCAATTATCAATGTCACTCCTGAATTATGAGTGGTGTAAATATTGCCCCTCAATTATTAAAATGGTGCATATATAGCCCCTCCCGTAACGGACCTGTGATTCCCCAACGCTGTCCATCACTGGTACTTCGAATCGAGGGAGGGAAAAAACAACTAAATTACATATTTACTCCGACTTAACGGTGTCGTACATTAACGGGGAACCACATGTCCGTTACGGGAGGGGCGATATGTGCACCGTTTTGATAATTGAGGGGCAACGTTTACACCACTCATAATTCAGGAGTGACATTGATAATTGACATATTATAGAGAGACATTTTTTACAATTTCCTCTTATTATTATTATTGTTCTTGTTGTTGCTGCTGCTGCTTTTATGCAAGTTATGTATTTAGTTTGTATGGATTATTGAATAGTGAATCACAAATGGTATTATTTGATAAAACTTATACGTGATTATTCTTCCAAAAGGTTGAACCCCAACTCTAAGGGCCCTCCCCACACTCCGACCCGACAGAACATTTGGGAGAATGTAAATCATGGTAACTCAACTGAATATGAACCACAGAGGCTAGACCGTAACTCTTGGTCATAAGTTTAAATCTCAATGGGAGTGTTGACTCTCTTCGCACTTTAATAGGTTGAGAAAGTACTCAAAAAAATTATTAGTTATGAGGATTGTACAATGTAATATTATTTACATCCCTTATTATGTGAGACTTTTTTTATAATTTTAAAGACAAAAGCCTTTTTGGTTAGTCTCTCCATTGGAAAGTTAATTATTAATTATTATGGTGCCTCAACATAAGTTTCTCCAATTTTACTTTAAAATTTTGTTTTCGAAGTTTGTTAACAATTTGATGAGTCGGAGGAGTAGGAATTTTTATTTTATTTTTTTAAAAAATACTAATGATTCTTAACAAGGTAATATTATTCTTTACTTTCTCAATCTTTTTTAGTCCAAAGAATCATTAGTCACACTATCCGATTTGATCCTGTGATCACCCATTTGGAATGGTAACAACAGTGTCATCACACTACATATATAATAGTAGTTGTCAGGAATTTTGAAACTTTTAAAAATTAGTTTACAAATAATCATTTTGAAATATTATTTTCAGTGAATCTACTTACATTTTAATTAGGTTAAACTGTATTTGGAAATTTTCTAAGTGATAATGAAATTTATAAGTTCAAAATTATTAATAGGTAAATAAAAAATTGGTTTATTTGCTAAGCAGCAAATTTGCAGAAGCAGAACAATAAGTAGGAGATCACAAGATGAGAAACAGAGTAGCAGACTACTATACATCTCAATTCTCAAGCAATCAATTAAGATTGGGGCTTCATATGGGTAAACATCGTCTTTGCAAACTCGGCTAGTTTCTCAGTCGAAGGCATCACATCCTTCACGGCATCATCACCGCAGAAATCTTCTGCCCAATTGGCCAAACCAGGAACCTTAGCTTCATCCAGAAACTTAATGCTGTTAAATGTCTCGATGACCCTTATCCAGGCCACTAAGCTTCCCAGTGCAATGTCCAAGAACCCTATTCTCTCTCCGCCAAAGAATTTCTTCCCTTTGCTGCAACTTTGGAAGGCACCCTCCAAAACCCCCAACCCTTCTTCCACCTCACCTATCGCTGCCTTTCTGGCTTCCTCATCCTCAGCAGCTGCTATGGTACGCAGTTTTGGGAACCACTGTAACAAGAGACATAACAAATAATTTTTAGACCAGAATCCACAATGCAAAGTCGAGTCGGATTCATGATATAACAATTGATCACAAACTTCACCGTACAAGTAACAATATAATTAAACCATAAAATTAGCATGAAGATATATACCTTATCATCAATATAAGTGGCCCAGAAGCGATGGGTGGCCCGGTCATAAGGATCGGCAGGCAAGATAGCCGGACCTGAAGTCCATACCTCATCAATATACTGGACGATTATGAGGGACTCGCAAACAGTGTTTTGGTTGTGAATGAGAACAGGGATTTTCTTGTAAATCGGATTAGATTTGAGTAGAAGGTCGCTCTTGGCCGCCAAATTCTCCTCCACGGACTCATAAGCTACAGATTTGATGTTGAAGGCGATGCGCGCTCGGAGCTCAAATGGGCTCGGCCAAAACCCCAAGAGTTTCACAGTCTCTGACGCCATGGCTGAAGCAATTAAGAAGACAATTAAGGGCCAAAATCAATTGGGGAGCCTTGTAGTAGCTAAGTGTATATATTGTGGACTGTGGAGTGGTTGATGCGAGCTGAGAGTTGAAACACAAAATCAAAAAATGTGGACGTAAATGAGAGGTGGCCACATGCCCTTTCATGTCCAAATCCCTCCTTAATTAACAGCCACGGCTTGGACAGGGTGAAGGATTTAAATCGCCAGCCTTATAATTAAAACATCGCAATCAAACTCCAAAGTTACAAGTTCAACTACTCCGACAAAAGTAGTCTACTATGGTCAGCTATAGACAATTAGATTGATTTAGCTCATAATGATTATTTGATGGTTAGAATCATAGTATAGGTGTGAGTTTCTCTCGTCATATAGTGCACCTAAGTGTTAGTAAAATGTATTAAAAATGCAACAAATAATGTACACAACGCATCAATATTAAGTGCACCTAGCATTAGTATTAGTTGTATCAAACGTAATCATTAAGTGCACTTATGTCAAAGACGTCATCATTACGTGCACCAATGTTAACAAGGTAAATTATTTTCACTATTTAGTGAAAATGATTGCAGTTGTAAGTGATTTTACTTGCACTTTTCACTTGCAAACTTACAATAGTTATTTACACTTTTAACACATTTTACTTGTAACAAAATTTGAGTTATTTACGAAAATGTCATTGCATCGTTTTTTAAAATTATATCTAATTCGTTAAATCAGGACACGACGGCTGCGATTCGTTCTTAGTTCTCTCTTGGGCACTCGTCTTCACCTAGTGCGCCACTCTATATATGTGTGTGTGTGTTTATATATATATATATATATATATATATATATATATATATATATATATATATATATATATATTTATCTAGATCAATTACCTACAATATATATTTATAATTTATGAAAAAAATTCGAAACTTTTTGTTTTTAAATTATAGAGAAATTTTACTTTTTTTTTCTCAATTATATCGTAGTCATTTTACCAAGACTATGTGGTACCTAGGTTGGATTTTCATTTGGAAGGTTATGAGTTCGAGCCTCACGTAATAGAGCCAATAGCATTCAAAAAAAATATTGTACTCACTTTTGCCTCTACTTAATTGTAAAAATGACTTTTTAACCCATATAAATTACTATTATTTTTACTAACATTATTATTGTGTAATGATATATTTGTATTTAGTGTCAATATATCAGTAATTTCATTTTACGAACTTACTGTTACGAAATAATATTTCCGGAAAAGTAACAAGCATAAGAACGAACTACGCACGAGAGAATTTCTATACTATATAATTCAACATTTTTTAAAAAAAGCTTTTGTATATATAGTAGTGCAAATCACTAAATCCCATGCTTTTTTCAATGTGGACAAGTGCTTTTTACAAGTCTTTTTACCCTATATTTTCCAACTCAAATGAGTCTATTTTGATAATCAGTTTTCTCATTCATCCATTATCCGTTTTGAGCGTACAATATATCTATCTCTTCGTCCCACAACGAAGAACCCGAATCCACTTTGACTTGATCCAAATCAAAAGTGAACCACACATGTTTGTACCACAAAATAGTCACTTGCAATGTCATTTTATGTTATTTTTCCAACACTTTACGAAATATATTGAAACCACATCACTAATGCAAGTTCATAATAGAAATATTGAAAGAAAAAAAAAAAAAAGTATAAATAAGCCATTGAATTATTTGAAAAACATCAATTAAGTCACTAAACTTAAAAAAGTTTAAAAATAATCCACGAACTCATAAAAAAGTTACAATTAGCGTTTTTTGCAGGTTAGTAACCGATTTCTGCTAATTGAATTGCCATGTGTAATTATATTTTTTTCGTATTATCCTACTTAAAATACATGTAAGCATTTGACCCAATTGAATATATATTGCAAAACACATACAATCTGGACTCGGAAGAAAGGGATTATAAAAAACAGAACTGCATATATACTCCCACAAATTTCTATGTTTCGTTTAGGTAATAACAAAAAAAATTTTAAAAAATTACACATGATAATTCAATCAACAGAACCCAGATAGTAACCTGCTAAAAATATTAATTGTAACTTTTTTTTTTTTAATTCATAAATTATTTTAGAGGTTTTTTGACATCAATAACTTCATTGTTGTTTTATATAATTTGCCGTGAGAGAAAGGCAAGCTGAGAATGAGAGAACCGCAGGGTCGCTGGGTCGGTGCTGATAATGAGTGAACCGAAACGTAATGTTGTGGTTGGGGGACCGCTTTGGCAGCGTTTCAGCCGTTTCTCCACCATAATTGGAAAGAGAACATCCTTGGACAATAGAGTTATTGTCAGATGAATTATTTTGCATGGGGATAATAACAAATGTGGGGTAGGGTTATTTGTGAAAAATATTTATTCTGCAAATTCAAGGATAATGTCAGAAAAAAAGGAAAAAGTAAAATAAAAAACAACACTGGTTGTGCGCGTTTGCGCACAGCCAATGTCTACACGGGCGCGTGCATTCGCGTCAGGCGCGCTGTCACGCGTCAGGTTTTTATTTTTATTTTTTTCAATTTTTGTTTTGTTTTTTTTTTCTTTTTTTTCTCTCCCCTCCCACATTCTCTTTCCTAATCACTCTCACATTATCTCCCAAATCTCCCCAACTAATGTGGATGCTCTAAGGCTAAATTGATACCGAAAGTGATTTGTGTGAGACTATTTTAAGAATTCTTGTCCTACTTACTTTGGACATAATTCTCACACTGTCAACGCAGAGGTTTAAATCTTGATCTCTTCTTCTAAATACTGTCTACTGAACCGTTGAGCTAAGCTCGTACGGGTTATAATCAATCATTATTGTGTGGACCATATTTTGTATACTGTAAAATAATGTATATTCAGTACAAAAATAATGTATATTTAGTATATTAAAAATGTATTTTTTGTTATGGTCCACATAACATTGTGTGGACCATAGTCCACCCAATAATTTGCCGGTTATAATTAAAACATCTCAATCAAACTACAAGGTTACAAGTTCGACTCTGACGAAAGTAGTCTATTAGTATTTTTGGTTTGAACTGATGGGCTATGGGCATCTAGGTTGGTTTACCTCATAATAGTCTTTTCTAGGTGAGGGAATACTTCGAGTTTTTTATAATGGGTAAATGAAAAATTAATTCGGGTTGGGTCAAAGTATATTCATATTTTCCTAGTTGAGGGAATGAATTTGATATATTATACACACAAAATAGATAATAAGTGAATAAAAAATTAATTTTGGGTCAAGTCAAAGTATATTTAGATTCTCCTAATTGAGATAATGAATTTGATATATTATATGTTCAAAATGGATAACGGGTGAATAATTCTCAAATGTACCCATTAAATTGAAAAAATGGAGTTTGGCAAAGCTTTTAAGTAACATTTGTTCACATTGAAAAGAGATGTCAATTTGCACTAGAATAAATACAATTCAACTTTTTAAAAAGTTTGAATTGCACTAAAGCCGCTAATCAAATATCAAAATGAGTTCTCATTTTGATAAACTTTCAAACTTGTAGAAGATATTATAAAGTGGATTATGATCTGAATACAATTCAACTGAATATCAATAAGAGAACGCCCATCTGCTTTTCTTAGAATATTGCCTAACCATAAACCAATGCTATTCTCATTCTCTAGTGTGATTGGATCCTATATCTCTAACTTATGACTTTCTGGGAATTACATTACATAAATGACTTACCAAAACACTTTCCATATAAAGTTTCAAGACCATTTTCACCTAGAAACAAGCACGAATAATAAACCGGGTAAAGGGTGGCCCTGAAGTGCAAATTAGCTCGATCAACTTATATGTACAGAGCTGCAAAACTTCCCTCTATCACCTGTCAAAGTTGCCCGGTTTACTGTCATGGCGATGGTGGCTGGTTAGCCATTGTCATCTCAAATTGCAGCAATGAGCTTTGCTTCTGCTTTGCAGTTTTCTCCACAGGCAGATCATTTGCCTCGGGGATTGATAATGTGCGGTGTAGTAGTCCTCGATGCACCCGAATTGACAGAAGTTCAGGCTGTGCACGTACGCCACCTCCTGAGAATTGTTGAACTGCTGTATCCACAATCCCATGCTCACATCTTCCATCTTGAACAACTGCAGGGTTCGGTAGCTGTTAAATCACTACTGAAAATTATGAAATTTCCGACCACCTGAAAGTGATCTTAAATCAAGTCGAAAGTCTTGTTCCGACCATTTTTGGTATCTGAGAAAACCTTTGTTGCTATTTCCGACCACATTTGATTTAAGATCACTTTCAGGTGGTCGAAAATTCAATAATTTCCAGTAGTGAATGGTACGATTTTCGTTTAATTTCGTTTATGTATAGCTCGTTAATCAATCTACCACATGCATTCTTGACTGAAAACGAAGAAATGAAGAAATGGGAGGTGGCATTTGATAGAGGAAAAATGTAATATAACATACCCTCAGCTTATGCTGCTCAAAATTGGAAACTATGAACTTGGCAATGTCAGATGAGATAATATAACCAGGCCCATTGGCATAGGGGGGATAGTCTTCTTCTGACCATTCCTGCAATACCAAAGTAAAGAAATTACTGTGAGATTTTGATGGATGGAGAAAGAGCATTGATTTTATATCTCTTCCCTATCTTCTCTTTTACATCTGCCTATTTCTCCCTCTTCTCTATTTTCTAATTACTCCTACTTGGGAAACAGGTCTGAGAATTGTTGGGCGGAGGTCTGAAGGGCCAAGTTCAGTACCCTGCCTCTTGAAAATGTGACAGTATATAAAGAAATAAGTTGCACATTCGCTATGACGAGCTATAGCGCAGCTTTTGGCGTAGTCTGCTAGAGAATTGTTGGGCGAAGGCCTGAAAGGTGAAGTCCAGCATCCTGACTCTCAAAAATGTGGTGGTATATAAGGAAATAAAGTTGCGTCTTCACTACGAGCTATAGCTTTAGGTGTAGTCTACTAGGGGAAATTGTTGTTAGGCAGATGCCAATGAAATGTCAAGTCTAGCACCAGGTGGCTAGGGGGATTGTTGAGCAAAGACCTGAAGGGTCAAGTCCAGCACCCTGCCTCTTAAAAATGTGGCTGTATAAAAAGAAGTTGCATATTCGCTACGACAAGCTATAACTTTTGGCGTAGTCTGCTGGAGAATTGTCGGGCTGAGGCCTAAAAGGTGAAGTCCAGCATCCTGCATCTCGAAAATGTCGCGGTATATAAAGAAATAAAGTTGCATCTTCATTACAAGCTATAGTTTTAGGTGTAGTCTACTGGGGAAAATTGTTGGGCAGATGTCAGTGAAAGGCCAAGTCTAACACTAGGTGGCTAGGGGGATTGATGGGCAAAGACCTGAAGGGCACCCTGCCTATATTAGGAAATAAATAAAATTGCGTTTTTGCTACGAACGTAACTTAATGGTAAGCGTTTGATCCTATTAAAGATAGACATTAAAACAATAGCAAAGGAACAGGCAGAAGTTAGTGAATCATAGAGGAGATCAAATTAGGCAAACAACAATAGTTTACCTCATAAGTGACAGCCCATTTACCCTTCCGCAATGGCTTATGGTTGTAATTGATGTTTCCAACATACAGGCTTCTACCCTGAGGAACTTTCTTAACTTCATTCATCAGAGCATCAATCCTCACAAATGTGTCATCATCACCCTTCATTATATACTTTGCAGCCATCGTACGAATCTGCAACACACAAACAGTTCGTGAAATGGAAGCGGGGGACATGTAAACACGAGAGGGGAAGTTAGCAAGACAGGAAATGGACTTCTCCATCGCCACTCACTGCATATTTGCAAATTGCCACAGTCTTCAACACCACCAAATCATAGTTATCCATGTAAGGCACGATAACAATATCGCCAAAAAATTCTGCTTCTTTCATTAGTTCCACGTTTACTTCATTCTTTCTATGCTGAAAATTTTGTATTTTAAGACCAAAACAAGCACAAGTCAGGGTAAATCGAAGTTAATCAGCTTTCTGTAGCTTCATTCAGTATATATATATGCTTCTTAGTTCTTACCATTGCCACAAAAAAACGGGCCACAACTTTCAAGGACTTAATCGATTCGTGTTGCATCCAGGTTTTCCTCACTGCCATCCGCTCATCGAAATGATTTCCAGCAGAAAGGATACCTATGAAGAGCTCCACCGGTCCACGAGGAAGAGGCGGGGCTTGCCACTCGGGCAACATTTCGAGATGCCTCTGAGGGGCAAAACTCGGATGCATTGATGGCAACGAAGCAGCGAAAAACGAATGCACATCAACATCTCCCTTCATGGAAAAACCAGTCGCTTCATCGAGAGTAAAACCCTGTTGACAATAAGAAACAGTCGGAGGTATCAGTACTAGAAATTATGGAATTTCCGACCACCTGAAAGTGATCTTAAATCAAGTAAAAAAACAAAAAGTAGTCGGAAATAGCAATAAAAGTTTTTCTGGATACCAAAAGTGATCAGAACAAAACTTTCGACTTAATTTAAGATCACTTTCAGGTGGTCGGAAATTTCATAATTTCCAACAGTGTATATTCGTTTCGAATAACTGTTCTAGGATTGGAGATTGAGTACTTACAGGGTGATACGGAAAAGAAGTAACATGCCTCCCATCTACACTGATATGAAAACCATCAAAACCTGCAGAAACTGTAAGCACAAACATCCTGTTCTCCACAAAAGGATATGGCCAGTCAACCGAAACCCTCTTTGTTCTCTTAACAATCCTCTTTAACCACCACATGACCTTCGATTCTTCAGAGCCACCATTGTCATCAAGAATCCACCTCTCACATTTCACCTGCCCATCAACTTCATATGATACAGAAAATCAAAATTAAAAAGCAAAAAAACAAGAGTTCAAGGGAAAAATCGTTTGAGTAGCAGTCTGAAAGAACAATTGCAAGTGCCTACTATTCACACTATAGAGTGATTGCCAAAGTCCTAGCTAGTGAAACCATAAGACTGTTCCATATAAGCTAGCAGCATTAATATAGCAGTATATAAAAGTAATGGAAAAAACAATGATAGGGTTTTGGGGCTTAGGATTAGTGCGCCGTCTGAATTAGTCTAGCGTAAGCTGGAAATCTAATAGAAAAAGCAATATAAAGAGCAATCGATGGGGATAAGCCCAGCTAAACTGACTAAGGATACAAACTTGTAACTATAAGGTCGAGTTCGAATCCTAGCTTTCTTGGTTTGAGGCCGGTCAGCTATAGGCAACCTAAACTGATTTACCTCCATGTGGTCGTGGTCTTTTGCTAGCTTGGATCACAAGGCGGGATTTACCAAGTGCACCACCTTAAGTAGCGGATGCAGGTTTCTCTCGTTAGGTCCTTTGCCATCTAAAGTCACAAGGCGGGTTTTACCAAATGCACCACCTCAAGTAGTGGATGCAGGTTTCTCTCGTCAGGTCCTTTGCCATTTAAAGTCACAATGCGGGTTTTACCAAGTGCACCACCTCAAGTAGTGGATGCAGGTTACTCTCGTCAGGTCCTTTGCCATTTAAAGTCACAAGGCAAGTTTTACCAAGTGCACTACCTCAAGTAGTGGATGCACGTTACTCTCGTCAGGTTCTTTGCTGTATAAGGTCGCAAGGAAGGTTTTACTATACCCGTGCACCACCTCAAGTAGTGGAGGTAGGTTTCCCTCATCAGGTCCTTTGCCCGACCCAAGACGGATTTTATTAAGTGACCCACCTCAAGTAGTGGATGCAGGTTTCCTTGTCACTCCGAGCGCGTGCAATCAATCGCCGGATCTTAGGACTAAGAATTAATCTGGCGTAAGCTGAAACCTAACGCATCAAAAAAAAAAAAACAAAAAGAAATTACCCACCAGTTTCTTCATCAGTATTGGATTTCCCATCACATCTTATTGCATTTCCCCATTGCATTCTATAACAAGTGTTCAGCTCAATCACTGGGGTCCTACTCCAATCCCCCTTCAACCTTGGATTAAAATGCAGTATTCTGGGCGGATCCTCCCCATCCACATTCTCCAATCCCAGCAGCTCCATCATGAACTGCGACTCAGGGTGGGCCCGCCGCGGCGTCCCCACCACCGTTATGTGGGACCCTAAAGACAGACCACATGGGATCACCGTCGAGTTACCCTTCTGCAAAAACTCACGCCCTGTCAACGCCACCGAGTCGGGACACGACTCGTTACGATTCTGAGTCCGATCCCCCAACTCGGTTCCAGCTTTCCCGGATTCAAGCTCCGCCAGTAGCTTCTTCCCGGCCACGAACGCATCTCTAACAGCCCGCCGGAGCTCCGAACCGCCGTCGAATGAGTTCTCGTCGATAACCAAACCCGAAAACTTCTTATTCTTTTCTGATTTTTCTCCCGTTCTTCTTCTCTGGCGCAAACGCAATCCCATCTTTGTTTCTTGCGTTATTCTCTGACCCGAAACTGGCGGTTTTTCGCCGGAGACGAAATTCGGGCTCCTTTCCGCCATTGCCGCCGAGTCCGGGCCGCGAGTTCTCGAGCTTAGGCACATCCAGCCCGAACCCAAATCTCAAAACTATCGGTATTTCCATGCCCATTAACATCAGGTACAGAATCAGCATACCCATCAACATTTGAATTGATTTTACCCGATTCAGCGAGAACAAAGAATCGAGCTTCCCCCGTTTCATTCTCCCCACAATTTCTTGGCTTTTCAGCAAAAAAGGGAATCTGGCTCTTGAACAATAGATCGAGACCCAAACCCCAGTTTTTGCTAAAAACCAAGAGGATTAGTCATCAGCTCAGATGAGCTCCAACATAATTTACCCATGCAGTGTATACATATATATATATATATATATATATATATATATATATATATATATATATATATATATATATATATACATGCACACGTATATATACACAGACATACGCACATAATATTGTACGTAGTATATATTATTATTATTAAATGAAATGTATAAAGAGAAAGATTGCGTTGAGCTAAAAATGGCGATAAGAGGTGAGATCATCAGGCTGCGTCATCCGTAATTCCGCTGGAATTTGCGACTTGCTAGACAACCATAAACAAAGGCAAAAACTTGTATTAGAAGTGGATTAGATCAAAATGTAATATTTATACTAAAAATATATAATAGAAATATAACTATTTTTTGAGTTTTCAAACAGACTCTAAAAGTATTATATTTTTTCATAAAAATATTACATTTTCTCTTATAAGTAATAAACAATTTATTCTATATTACTCAACCCGTCGCACGAATAAGAATTCGTGACACGGTCTCACAAGAGAGACATCACTCATAAACAAGGCCAAAACTTGTGTGAGAACAGGTCGGATCTTTGATTAATAATGTCAAAGATCTAACCCGTTAATCAAAAAATCGACCCGCCTCACAGATTGAGACCCGTGAGGCGGCCTCACACAAGTGTTACCCCATAAACAAATACAACATGGTCTATCGTACAAGATAGTTGGACGTTGTTGTTTTGTCGGGAATTCGACAATTTGGAATACTTTATTTATTGGAAAAGGTGTCAAATTAAATAGGTCACTGAATTTTTACACATTGTACAATTAAAAACTCAAAATTGTGTAAATAGCATTTTTTACAAGTTACTTCCAAATTTCCCTTAAATATGATGCCATAATGTCAAATTATATATATATATATATATATATATATATATATATATATATATATTATTTTTAAAAATTAAAAAAAAAACAATTTTTTAAAAAAAATTCAAAAGTAAGTGGAAGTGGCTGCCTCCACCTTCTTCTATTGTGGATGAAGGGAGAGGCAGCCATGGTTGCCTTTTCCGTCGTATGACCTCGATTGAGGAGGGAGCAGCCATGACTGCTTCCTGTTCGTCTAAATCAGACGAAGGATGGGGCAACCTTGCATGCTCCCTCTTTCATTCAGAGCGGACAAAAGAAGGGACAGCCATAATTACCTCAATCCTCCTCTCGGACGAAGGTGGAGGTAATCATGGCTACCTCCCCTACATCCACAATGGAAGAAGATGAAGGCAGTTATGGTTGCTTCCACCTTCTTCTAAAATTTTTTAAAAAATTGTTTTTTTTTTTTTCACTTTTAACTTTTTACACGGTTGGAAATTAAGAAATTTTCAACCACTTATGGTATCCGAAAAAACCTTCATTGCGATTTCCGACCACCACCTCGGAAATAGCATCCAATTTTGTAAAGTAGTCGGAAAAATCGACTACTAGAAAGATTGGTGGGAATTCTCAACTCAGTTAAAAAAATTTAAACTGCGGAATTTTTTTTCGACGCCAACCACTAAGTAAAGGTGGTCGGAAATTCTGACCTATTTCCCCACCATAATTCTTCTACGAAAAATTGAAAAAAAATGTCACTTTTCGACCATTTTTTTAAGTGGTCGAAAAAGTGATCGAAAAATCAAAGATTTCCAGTAGTGTTAAAATAATAATTAAAATAATTTTTTATATATAATTTGACATTATGACATCATAGTGAAAGGAAACTTTGAAGTAATCCGTAAAAATTGCTATTTGATTTTTGAGATTTTAATGGTCCAATTACACACTTTTTTATTTGATAATTTAATTATATAATATGTAAAAGTTCAGTGGCCTATTTGACTTTTTTCTTATTTATTCGTTATAATGTAAGTATGGGTAATAAAGTCTTAAGATGTTTAAAATATTGGGAGAAGAAGATATTTAAAATATTAATTACGGACTAAGCAAGTGGTCATGTCTTTCACCCAAAAGCAAACGCTCAAGTTGTTCCTTGCCTAAATTAATTAGTTAACAAATTAAAGTCCGACAGTAGGGATGGCAGCAGGATGGAATGTCCACCCAACCCTGTTCTTAGGGAATATAATTTTTCCCCATCCCTGTCATAGGGGGGATTTTCAAGTAGAGGAAATTATGACTTCTCGATCAATTATGTTTTTTTTTTTTTTTTTTTTTTGAATGCGATCAATTATGTAGTTAAACTATTAATTTAGTATAATTTTAAATATTTAAATACAAATTTTAAATGTAATATTTTTAATTTAAATTCTCAAATCAAATATTAATCTAGTAATTAAGTTTTTAATTTTTCATAATGTCATCAATATATATATATATATATATATATATATATATATATATATATATATATATATATATATATATATATATATATATATATAATGTACCAGGGACGAGGATAGGTGGAGAATGAATACAACTTCCTGTCTCATCCCATCCCTTTGAGAGCCAAGATTAGGGATCCCCGTGAGGTTAGGGATAAATTTTCATGCTTATGTCTTAGTGAATAAAAGTATAAAACATGTTTTAATGTTATCGCCGTGAGGGATACACTTTTTATAAGAGTTGAATATTCAACTTTTGTAATTGTATTAGATGTATATTTATGAACTATTCCAGGTTGTTTAGTTGGAACTCATTTTTTCTTTAAATATCAAGTTGTTTAGTTGGAACTCTTTTTTTTCTTTAAATGTTTTATGTTTACATTTGTTATGGAGTAATGTTCACATTTGGTTGTGCATGTGAGTTCCCAATTTTGAATTTGATACTTTTTTACTACCTGGATAATACTATAATGTGTCGAGTTTAATTCCTATCAAATATCAAATGGAATATATATAACTATTTTTTTTTTTTTTGTGCACTAGTGTTAAAGCATGTAGAAGCTTGTATATTCATTAAGGCACATCCTGCAATTAACCTTCTCCACCAAAGCTTTAGGATAGGAACAGTGATGCAATCCATTTTAGAATGCCAGTATCGAATGTGAATATGAATTATTGCCTAAAATATGTAATCATCAGTATTATTTATTATTGAATGACTCTCATGTGAGACTATCTCATTGATCTTTATCCGTGAGACAGGTCAGGTCAATGTGAAAAATGTAATACTTATACCAAAAAATGTAATAATAATCAGGAATAAAGTGTTTGTTACTTATACGAGAAAATGTAATACTTTTGTAAAAAAAATGTAATACTTTTAAATCAAAATGTAAAAACACTATATTTTTTTTTTTCAAAAGCATTACATTTTTCCTTATAAGTAACAAATATTTTATCCCTATCCCTGATTATTATTACATTTTATCCGATGACGGAGCCACAATGAAGGCAGTGGGGGCAACAACTGCCCCCACTCACCCCAATCCTTAATATACATTTATATGTAAATATGACTAAGGAAATCAGCAGGTTAGTTGGTTGAGCCTTGGTTGTGATATATGAGATGGTATGGGTGTAAATCCCATCCATTACAATATTCTATATTTCATTTCTTTTCTTTATTTTAACTCTTTCCACATTTTAATAAATGTTTTTTTAATTCTACTATTTTGTGAATAATTTAGTTAATGTAGTTCACAAGTTTATATTATATACTTCATCGTATTAAAATTAATTTAGAAAAATTTAAAGTTGGTCAAATTAAAATTAAAGTATTTATGAATATAATTTCTTTTCTATTCAAACTATTTTATATATCTAATTGATTATGTTTTATATTTTGCTATAAATATTTTTATAACATTTTAAAGTGTTTTAAAATTTCACCCTACCTAAGTATAGTTTTGGCACCGCCCCTAACTATCATGTAGTCTATCATAAACATTTTATTATAATTTATAATGTATTTAAACAATATTATATATAGGTGTTTGATATTTTGGCATTAACAATTTTAAAGTCATTTTAAGTATGCCCCCACACACATAATTTTCTAGATCCACCACTGATTTTATCTTAATTCAACTCGTCTCGAATAAATATTCGTAAGATGATTTCACACAAGTTTTTGCCTTTATTATTAAGTTATATTCTAAATCTCATGTTTTTTTAGTAGCTTAAATCTAAATTAATTAAAATGTAATTTGATTGTGTACTAGAAAAATAGAATCTAAGGGTCCGTTTGGAAAGTAGGAAAATGATTTCTGGAAAATGTCTCATTTTCCAGAAAACATTTTCTTTTTCGGTGTTTGGCTGCACAACGGATAACTGTCTTTGTATGTTTAGTCCATTTTCCAGAAAATGACCAAAATTGTATACTTTAATTATTTTTATTTTTTCATTATTTTTTTTCTTTTTATATTATTTGATAAGTTCATTTTTTTTAAATTTTATGCTCTGTGTTCTTCTTCCCTAAAATTCTATGCTCTTTGTGTTCTTCTTCCCTGACTTGCAATTCAAAAAATAGTGTAATTCAGTCAAAACAAAAAAAAACACATAACCCAAAACAACCACCTCCATTTCTACACAAATGAGAGGAATTGATTTCACAAATCAAAAAAAATACTGAGAGAAAAAAAAATCAAAAACATACTCCCAGTTCATCACTGGTTTCCGTCCGCAGCCGGAAACCAGTGGCTTTGGTTTCCGGCTCGCAGCCGGAAACCAGAGAACTGGTTTCCAACTGCGGAAACCAGATCTCTATCTGGTTTCCGCAATCGGAATGTCACTGGTTTTCGATTAGAAACCAGTTACCAATTACCATAGAACTGGTTTCCGACTGCGGAAACCAGATCTTTGGTTTCTGCAGTCGGCCGATGCGGAAAGTAGTCATCGGAAACTTCTTTAACAGTCATGAATTTGTCGTGTTGATGGAGGGTGAAAGCGTGAATTTGTCGTGTCATCGGAAACCTCGCAGTAATCGGAATCGGTGATGGATTTGTTGGCTTGTTGATGGAGGCTGAAGGCGTGGAGATTGAAGTGGAGCGTGATGATGGAAAATGACTTCCCCCAAACAAAAAAGGGAAAGTCATTTTTCGAAAAAGTGGAGTGATTTTCCATTGACTTTGAATTATTTTCTTTTGACCCCTCTTTTTCTTGCCTAGCCGAACACCAAAAATCCGGAATTTTGAATTTCCAAACACACCCTAAAAGTAGTAAACATATGAATATAGTCAGAAGTCCAAAATGGGTATTAATTCACCTATAAATCTATTGGCTATCATCCTATAAGTAGCATGTTTAATTGCACACGTACTCTTCAAGTGGATCAATTATTATCAAAGTTTCAATGGTGCATTTATGAATCTTCTCCCAAACATTTATGAATCTTATTAATGCATGATAGGGTATTGCAAAAAAAAAAAAAAAAAAAAAAAAAAAAAGAGTCGTGTAAAACCAACTTGATTGGCGTTAGTGATCATGCACTCTCATCCTTTAAGAGAGGTCGAGACTTCGAACCCCTTCTCGTATGGAAAAATCAATTTGGCCAGCACTTTGTCCCTTAATTGGGTCGGCTCGGTGCGAATAGGGGATTAGTCTGAGTATATATGGTACAGGCTTAAAGGTGCATCCTATAGTTAGGGCCTGCTTAGGATACTTCATGGTCTGACCAAAAAAAAAAAAAAATCATGTAATCAGTTTGGTTTGTGTAAGTGGACATGTACTATGAAATTGAGAGTTCAAAACCCTTATCCTAAAATTAATATGGCAAGCACTTTAAATTGCTCCTTAATTGAGATTAGTTTAAGTATGATATGGATTTAAAAGATTTCGTGGTTTAACAAAAAAATAAATAAAAAGTTGTGTAGTATTATATGGACGACATCCTTGCCCCACAAATTGTCAATTTGCTTCGTATGTATAGACAAAGGGTAGAGACAAGAGGCCGGCGAGCTGAGACAAAGGATACTACAAACAATGTAACTCCCAAAAGTTTTGCCATTAAATATAAGAAACTTTTAATTTAAAAGAAACGAATCAAAGATTTTTACTTATAACACATTTACGAATTTTATCTCACACTCGATTTCCTCTCTTTCTCCCTCCCCCGCCCCCTTATGTCAAATTGACATGTTAGTAAATTATATGTCTAGTTATTATTTAATTTGCAGCTACCGTCTTCTTACGAGTGTACTTGGTGTAGGTAACAACATCACGAATTACATTCTCCAAAAAACTACGAGTATCATCTTCCCCCAAAAGGTCGAATGTGTTAGTGTAAAAACACGAAAATAATAATAATAATAATAATAATAATAATAATAATAATAATCCTAGGGAAAGAGGACTATTATTATTTGTGGAAAAAAAACTGAAAAATGTGGGAAGGACGAATGGATATGGTGGGTAGGTGGTTAGCACGAGTTGAGTGAATCACTCTTTTCTTAAAACTTTATTTGCCGTCTTCCAAAGGGATAGGAGTGTTACGACTTAAGTATCTCAGAATAAAACGTACTACGATTCCAAATTTCAACACTCAAACACTCAAATAATGCTTCCAAACATTATCATATGTTTCAGTCCTTCCAAAAAGATAAAGATCAGATCAGGTGAATAATAAGACAAAGGAACATTCGCTAAAGATCATATCAATTATCATGCATGTTTAACCAATATTATATAAATATAAATGAGTAACCTAGTTACCAACTTAGAAATTTTTGTTGAGAATGAAATACCTACTTTAATTTAATTGACATGAAATTCAAATAGAGTTGTCAATAGGAATCCAATTAATTCGACAAGTTAGGCCAGTTTAATCCGTATTTTAGACAAATTATATTAGAAATATACAGATCAAATATATGTATTACTCATGTTATAATCTAGCATTGACTGCGGAAGCGATATGATCGAGCAAATCTCCAACCATAGTTGTTTGCTTGTATTGTTGCATGTGTTGATGCCCAAAATGTAGTAGCAATTTCTGCAGACTAACAATGTCTCACACTTAATCTCCAGACAATAAATCATACCTACACTTACAACACGTTTGGTTCACAGAATGAATTTTGAGGTAATAGGAATGCTATTCCATAAGGAAAAATGGAATAGGCAAGGAATAGAATAGAAATTGTATTTATTGTTTGGTTCGCGGAATGAATAGATTTTAGGAATTGTATTACAGTGGTTGGTTGGTTTAAGGAATAGAAATGAAATATGTTTTAAAAGACATAAATACCCTTATAAAAATATATAGTGGTGGTGGCGGCGGTGGTGGTGGTGGGGGCGGTGGCGATGGTGGTGGTGGTCTTGGCGCTGGTGCTGGTGTTGGTGCTAGTGGTGGTGGCGGTGGCGGTGGTAGTGGTGGCGGTACTAGTGGGATGGTGGTGGTGGTGGAGGTGGCGGCGACGGTGGTGGAGGTGGCGGCGGCAGTGGTGAAATATGAAATAAATTTAATTGGGGATAAAATCTATATACATATAAAGGCCATAGGATTTTGGCCAATCAAATCCTTCCATTTTCCCGCCTAAATACACGACACCGTTTAGGTGGGTTTTTTTTTTTTTTTTTTTTTTTTTCAAATCCATTCAATTTCCCGCCTATTTGAAAATTTTAATTTACTGATTTGGTATTGCCGTATGATTTTAGGCCTGCTGTTTGTATTCTAATAGGTTTCTAGATAGGAAACGTGTGATTTAAGTCTAATGGGTATGGGAGTGATCTAAACTGCAGTGCATAGGTAATATTTTAATATTTTTTGCAATTGTCCGACTCTAAGTTTGCTGGTTATATATAGCTACACATTCAGGCCTCAAAGCAAAGCAAAGCAAAATATTACAACTTTCTTTCATCTGTGCTACCACAAAACGAAGCAAAATATTACAACTTTCAGCTTTCAAAAACCAACATGACTGGGCAGTTCATAGTTGGTGCCCAGCTTCACCCGCAGCAGACTTCTAAGGCCATTAGATTGCGTTGTGTGCGGAGCTATGTTGTCACTGAAAACAGAGGACAAAAACAAATTAGAAGTCAAGAGTGTGTCTTTCATGATCAAGAGGTGTGCTATTCCTAGATTACTATCTTCTAATTTTATTGTCTATTGCTAACTGTTTATAAGTACTTATGATATTTTCGTTGTGTCTTGAATATAGGGTATTTTTATTCATGTTCACATACCTAAGGATATTGTTGCAACATACCAGAATATGTTCAAGGAGGGTAAAGTCTATGGTATTCGAAATTTCTTATGTATCACTAACTTTTTCAAGTATAAAACAAGCACGCATCGTTATATGATCAAATTCAAACATGACACTGTTGTGAAGCAATATCAGCGTGTGAATTTCCCTAAAACAATGTTCCGGTTTAAGAGTTTCCCGGACATACTTTCAAAGAAGAATGTTGATGAGAAAGTGTTGATAGGTAAGAGTTTAACTGGATGCATACATATATAATACTCAAATGAAGGAATGCTACTTTGATTATGTTTTCAACCATAGCCATCAACACTAATATTCTGCTGTTATTTTATGTAGATGTGATTGGCCGAGTTGTTGAAATTTATACACCACTAGACAAAGTGATAGCTGGAAAACAAACAAGGCTTATTGACTTTGTTCTTGAAGACAATGGGTAATTTTTTATTTTATTTTTTTGGCTTGGCTATGCTGATGTAAATCTTATTATTAATTCTGTTGGGTATTTAAATTGGTTTCTGTTTTCATGCAGTAAAAATCAGATTAAGTGTACATTATGGGATGAGCATGTGGATCAACTATCTCCTTATTTCCACATTGCTGCATCTGATCCAGTCATACTTCTCATTCAACTTTGTAGGGCCAAGTTTATGGACAGTAAGTTCTAATCCAGGATAGGTGTGCTTTCTATTTCAAATAATATCCTATCTCCTAATGAGCAATTTTTTTTTCTGGTTAGATGGCGAGGTTCGTATTTGCAGCTCCTTTGATGCTACCCAACTATTTTTTACTCATTCGTCTAAGGAGTTCCGTGACTTCAAGAATAGGTGTGTTTCTATTTTATGGTGTTTGTTCAACTTTTTAAATCAAAATGGATGTGAAAGTATTTACTTTTTTATTTTTAATAGCTTTACAGGTGACTACACCCCTTTGAGGTGTATAAAATCTGGTTCTAGGCTTGATGTTGGTTTCCCTACTAATGGCCTGCATCCTAATGATATTTTGGTTACTCCTATTGAAGATATTTACTTGAAAAAACAGGTTAATATGCTACAATGTTTGATAATTATTTCTGTTTGTCTACTAATTTTTTTTGGTGTTTTCTATATACTTATAAATTCTAAGCATAAAAGAGATGACCTAGATTTTTTTTTTTTTTTTTTTTTTTTTGTGCACCAGTTGGGGGAGTATTGGGTTGCAGGCAGAATTGTTGGCGTAGAGAGTATAAGTGATTGGTATTTCATTTCTTGCAAGACTAATTCTTGCAAGAAGAAGCTTGCTGAACAAGGTGGCATGATGTACTGTGGTGGGTGTAAGAATTCTTGGCATGAAGGAATTGTGAGGTATAGGTTGATTGTCCGTGTGGCGGACCACACTGGAGATGCTCCTATGCTTATATGGGATCGTGAATGTGCAGATTTGGTTGGTATGTCAGCGGCTGAGTTAAAGGCTAAGTACCCTGAGGTATACTATACTATTTCACTTCTTTATTGGGTGTTTAGTGGTTGGTTTTTGATGTCTTATCTGTTCTCCAATATTTCTAGGGAAATAATTGTATTCCACCTGAACTTGGTCGCTTGCGTGGGATGTCTATGGTTTTCCGTATTGTTATGAAGAAGGAACAGGTGGAGAGCTACTATTCTACCTTTACGGTTCTAAGGATTTGCAGGGATGAGCCATTAGTTACACAACACTGCTCAGGTTTTCTAGGTGCCCCTTCTGCTGAAATGGTTCCAGGTCATGTCGGAGGTTCTTTGGATGTTGGATGTAACTCTGAGGTATACATATTATTCTATTTTTGGGTTTATAAGTGGTTCTAAGTAGGTTATTGACTGGTCAGATCTATTTTTATGCAGCAACAGTTTGGCAGTGATGAAGAGAAGTTTTTTGGAGTGGAGGATGTCTCTGATGGTGTGGAAGATGATATCACTATTGGTTTGGATGACATTTCTGAGGATTTAGGGGATGAGCATGTTGCTGATGCTGTTAAGGGATCTATGGTCAAAGATTTGGTTACTGCTGGTGGTTGTAACAAAACTAAGGATAAGGGTATTGTTGATTTGGAAAGTGAACATGTGGGTGTTCCTCTTAAGAGATCTCTGCTGAAAGAGTTTGGTATGTCTGGTACTCTGGTAGCATAAAGAAGGCTAAGGAGGTGGTGGTGAAGCAGGAAAAGTAATGGAAATTTCTTTATTTAGAAATAGGTTGTACTAATACTAAGCTGGTAAGTGGGTTTTGTGTGCTAAATTCTACCAAACTGATGGTTATGCCTAGAAAACTGCAGCTTTTTGCAATGTACTGTTAGCCAGTGGATTGTGTGTAGTGTGTTTTTGCCTATGGGTTTGTTTTGTGAACACTGCAGGTGTTTCAGTGTACTGGTAAGCAGTACAATGTATGTAGTGTGTGTTTTGGGAGGCAATGTGTGTAAAACTGCATATGTTGCAGTTGCTAATCTATTTTAAATGTAATGACTGGTTGCTCTAATTGCAAACCAGCCACTAATGAGTTTTGGTTCTTATTCTATTCAAGTATAAGTATATATTGCTTACCCAAATATTACAAATAAACCTATTATTAATCAAAGTATAATATATAATATAGAAATCCAAATCATTAAAAAAAAAAAAAAAACAGTTAGAGCATATTATAGCAACAAATTAAATCATATTAATCTATAATTTCACAAAGTCTATTATAGCAAGCCCAAAAAAAATTGCAGCATACTGATAGTTTCCTGGTAAATGAGATAAAAAAGAAAGGGGGAAATTACAAAAGGTATAGCAAATTAGGAGGTTGATTTTTTAGTAAATGCATATCACTTGCATATTTATTGCAAAGAAATATTTAAGTGAAATAATAGGAACCCATTCAAAAAAAAAAAAAAAAAGTATCAAAAGATTAATATTTGAGAAATGACAAATAAATTGATAGTGGCCATGGTAAATGATATACAAAAAGGGCAATTTTTTTTTTTTTTAAATAGATTAGCAAGCTGATCATTAAAGAAAAGGATCTCCCATGCACATGTATTCCAGATAAATATGTTATTTTACAAACTCAATTATAGCAACTAAAAAAAAGGAAGCATCAGACTCCTTTATCATCACTTGCTTTTGATTTTAGATTGTTAGTATTTGTTCATATATATGTATAGAAAGTATTTCAATTACTTATCTATTCCAAATTAACCTATTATTAAACAAACTTTAATATACCAAAAAAAAAAAAGCAGTTATATCATATATTAGCAGGCTCATATTTGAGGTAAAGGACTTGCATATGTATTGCAAATAAATCTATTATTTCACAAACATCATATAGGAACATTTTTTTAAAAAAAAAAAAAAAGAGTGGCATCATACTGAGAATTGAGAAATGACAAACAAACTCAGACAGGCCCTGGTAAATCATTTTTAAAAAGGGAAAAAAAGACAAAGCAGATTAGCAGGTTGATTTTTGAGAAAAAGGATATCAATTGCATATATATTGCAAATACTTATATTTTTCCACAAATCCTATTATAGCAACAAAATTACAAATATATATATATATATATATATATATATATATATATATATATATATATATATATATATATATATATATATATGACAACAGATAGCAATTTGAGAAGTGAGAAACAAATTGACAATGCCATGGTACAAATTACACAATACCCAAGACATACATTTAGGAATACTTTTTCCCATACACCTATACCTATACCTAAGCATTTAATGTGGATGGTAAGTGTTGACTATTATATACTAATGTTTGATTGAGACTTCTTAGCATGTGTACTACCTGGTATCTCTATATATACTTCATTTAAGAATGTAACATGTACACTATATATTCATTCCAAAAGTGAACTTCTGAAAGTTTTTAGCTAGCAATTGCAACAATGAAAAAATTGACTAGCTCAACTATCATTCGTGGAAAAAGAAAGCTTGATGTTGAAGACAAAGGTAGAAATGAAACATACATGATGTTCTTCATTAAAATTGTAACAAATGTTAACTTATTTTTTTGGTTTGCAATACTCATCTTCTTTGCTTTCCATTTGTCTACTATATCTGCACCAATTTGGTTCCCTATGTCTCTTCTTTTTTTGTCAGTGTATTGCGAGAGTGTAAATGCAACACTTTCCTATACACCTGCAAATGAATATTATTGAGGTCATTAAAAAAAAAATCAAAACACTACTAATATATTTGTTGACATGTTTTGTATATAAAATTTGTTGATACAATGATTTAAAAATAGTAGTACTTAATAACAGGTGAATATGATTTAAATTGAACTTTTTTAGGAATGAACTCATTTTTTTAAGCAGAAGGGTAAACTGAAATTATGCTTTTGATGGCATGTGAAGTGGAAAGAAATCTAAAAAAAAAACTAAATTAATCAATTTCAGTATTACTAATCAATTCCAAACTAAATTATTGAATTGTACAGCAACACTAATCTTAATACTATTTTTCCACAATTTCCAACAATATTCATGCATAGAACATATCTAATATAAAAACGCAGCTATTAAACAGAAAATTAAAGAGAACACAGATTTTACAAAAATTCATCAATTTGAGCTGAGTATTTTCATTTTTATAAATACAAAAAAAAAATGCATGATTCTAATTTTGGTAAAATTGCATAATAGATGTCTTTGTACCAAAAAATATAAATTATTAACTTCAAAATTAGTAAAGTATAAGTTTTTACCTTATAGATGTGGTAGTCGCGGTTGCTGATTTTCTTTTAGATTTAACATATGAACATTTGTTCCAATCCATCTGTTGAGTGGTGTTTAGTAGAATTGAAAACGCTGAACACAAGAAAACACTTTTCTTTGGTGTAATTAGTCTAGATTTGTGAATCGTATACATCGAAAGATATAGAGAATAGGTTAGAGAAGGAGATTGGTAGAACGACAGTTCGAGATAGAAAAAGAATGGTTCATAGATGTGTATGTCGTTAAATTTCCAGAATCGGTTTACAAAGAATAGGTAGTGTTAGGGTTTTGTTGGGTGTAACTGGTTAGTAGTTCCGATTGGACTACATAGTTTTGTAAATGTGATGTTTGAACATGGAGATGGTTAGAAAATGACATTGAGCTAGAGGCGATAGCTTAAGCAATAATGGCAATGTGTGGACGGTGTAGTTTCCAAAAACAGTAGACACAGTGTAGAGAAGATATGCGCAGCCAAGAAGATAGGGTTCCGGCAAAATGGTCTAACTGTTTAGTTGTTTAGGGTGTTTTGTTCTGGTTTGGGTTTTGGGTTGGGCTTTGATAAGCTAGAGTTTATATTTGGGTTATAATTAGGCTAGAGTTTGTGGTTGGGCTATGGTTAGCCCATATTTATTTATTTATTTATTTTGAAAGGCCCATATTTATAATATACTTAATATAATTAATGGGCAAATTATTGTGTGGACCATAACAAAAAGTACATTTTTAATACACTAACTGTACATTATTTTTGTACTGAATGTACATTATACAATATAATGTACACTCAGAACAAAAATAATGTACATCCCCTGAATACAATGTACATTATTTTTGTATTGAATATACATTATTTTTATACTAAATGTACATTATTTTACAGTAGACGTTATTTTGCAATGGGACAAGATTAATTATTTCTAAATTAGCAGATCATGTTGTTGAAGCCAAGATTCTTTTTGGTAGTAATGCAGGTGAACAAGTCTTGATCCCACGATTGTCTCTTACACCGTCAGATACTAGGCTACCATTTAAATTCCAACGAAGGCAATTCCCACTTATGTTGTCTTATGCTATGACAATAAACAAGAGTCAAGGCCAAACATTGTCTACAGTTGGACTTTTGTTGAAAAAATCAGTCTTTGTTCACGGACAATTATATGTTGCTTTGTCTAGGGTTAGTAATCCGAATGGTCTTAAGTTACTTATTTGTAGCTACAATGGAGAGTATGTTTCTTCAACGTCGAATGTTGTATACAGAGAGGTCTTTAACAATTTATAAAATTTGTATATTATTAATTATTTGTTACCTATGCAATATGAAGTTATATTTTACATACTTTTTGAGATGCCAATATAATTTTTATATTACTATTACTAATAAACTAATAAATAAATAATTGAATAAATATATATATATATATATATATATATATATATATATATATATATATATATATATATATACTATTTTTTATTTTATTTTAGCCGTGCATCGCACGGGTGGAGTACTAGTAGGAAATAATTTAACAACTTTAGGCTATTCCTGAGCTCAGGAATAGCCTAATACCAGGGGGCGCCCAGGAATCTCTATTCCCCCTGCAAGGGTAATAGGTCATTCCCATGAACATTGGGAATAGATGTTTTTACCGTAATAGGCCTATTATTGGGAATGTTATTCCATTTCAGGCCTATTCCGCGAACCAAACGTGGCATTTAGTGAAAGTAAAAGACAATTGATTCTAATATTTTTTTTTGAATACTATTGACTCTATTAGAATATAATTGTAGTATTCTCATTAGGGTTCAAACCTGAGACCTCTCATTTGAGGGGTCATAACTATACCGCTCGATCACAAGGCCTTTGACGAATTGATTCTAATATAAAGACATCCAAAACACCAATATGAACAAAAAAGGTAAAAACAAAAATCTAAAAGCACTAATCAAAGGGGATGATAAGGAATAAGGGAATGAAAGGTGATGATACCCTTATTTTATTTGGGTATGAGTTTTTCAATGAGTTAATTACCGAAATGATCCCTTGACTATAGTGAAATTACCAATTTGGTCCTTGACTATTTTTTTTTAACCAATTAAGTCCCTTAACTTTAAAAATCTTAACCAATTTGGTGCTCCGTTAGTCAACAGTTAACTTGGGACCAAATTGGTAATTTCGCTATAGTCAAGGGACCATTTTGGTAATTAACTTTAGGGGTGGGCAATTCGGTTTAGTTTTCTTGAACCGTACCGAACAACCGAACGGTATTGGATTCTTGTATACCGAACGGTTCGATAAAAAATCGATCCGAATTGTTCAGTAAAAAATTGAACTGAACCGAATACTGTTTATTTTTTTTTTTTAAATATAATAATACTAATAATAATAATAATAAATAAATAAATAAA